AATGGAAACTACACACCTACCAACTGTCTACGAAGCTGCATTACTCAACCCGGACCAAACACTATTTGTGGATGGGTCAAGATTTGCTGATGAACAGGGACAATATCACACTGGGTATGCAGTCACCACAGAATGCCAAGTATTGCAAGCAGCTGCCCTACAACCAACTAAGTCCGCTCAGGAAGCTGAATTGACAGCCCTAACTGCGGCCTGCAAATTGTCTAAAGGGTTACGTGTCAACATTTATACGGATTCAAGATATGCCCTGGGAGTAGCACATGACTTTGGCCTAATTTGGAAGACCAGAGGATTTCTAACGGCCACTGGTACCCCAGTAAAGCATGGGGCAGCCATTGCAGAGCTGATGGATGCATTGGAGCTTCCAGCAGAAGTGGCAGTACTGAAAGTAAAAGCCCATGGAAGACTAGACACAGAAGAAGCACGTGGTAATCACCTAGCGGATCAAGCAGCTAAGGAAGCGGCACGGCAAAGATGGGAAGTGGACAGAAGAGTGGCCGCAGATACATTACCTATCTACACTATGCAAACATTACCTACAGATCTTAGACTCCTGAAGGAACAACAAGCTGCTGCTACTCCACAGGAGAAACAAAGTTGGAAGAGCAAAGGAGCTATACTCCGTGATGATGTTTACACTATCAATCTCAAGTTTTGCCTACCCAGAAATATGTATCCAGCGGTGGTCCAATGGGCTCATGGGCCAGCCCACCTGTCAAAACATCTGATGAACTCATTGATTGACAAATATTTTGAAGCACCAGGCATCACTACCTTAACACAGAATTACTGTAAATCTTGTACTATATGTGCTAAATGCAATCCTGGAAAGATTATAAAGACTGCACCTAATCACCTAGCCAAGCCACAATATCCCTTCCAGAGGATTCAGATTGATCACATTCAGATGCCAAAAAGTGGACGTTATGAATATGCATTGGTCATAGTGGACATGTTTTCAGGATGGCCAGAGGCCTTCCCAGTGACTAACTTCACCGCGAGGACTACAGCCAAGTATCTTCTGACAGAAATTGTTTGCCGCTATGGGGTCCCAGAAGTGATTGAAAGTGACCAGGGGACCTCCTTCACTGCCTCGCTAACACGGGAAGTCTGGTCAGCACTGGGGGTGACCCTTGCATTTCACACACCATATCACCCACAGAGTAGTGGTAAGGTAGAACGCATGAATGGCACTTTGAAAGCCAGAATGCTCAAGATGTCACAAGAAACTAACATGCCCTGGCCCGAGAGTCTCCCACTGGCATTGTTTAGTGTAAGGTACACACCTAGGGGAAAATACAGCCTATCACCCTATGAGATTTTGTTTGGTACAGCACCTAGGTTGGGTTGTTACTTTCCCCAGCAGCTTCAGATTCAGTCAGATGCTATGGTAGACTATGTGACCGCTCTCTCTCATGCCCTGACCAAGATACATGCCCAAGTGTTTTCTTCTATTCCAGATCCTGAGTCGAATACAGGTACACACAAGCTGCTCCCTGGTGACTGGGTTATGGTTAAGAAGTTCCTCAGGAAACACACCCTAGAACCGAGATTTGATGGTCCTTATCAAGTGCTCCTGATTACAGCAACGTCAGTTAAACTAGCTGGAAAAAGTTCCTGGATACACGCTTCACATTGCAAAAAAGTGCCTGCTCCAGAAGAAGCTGATCTTGTTGAAACATGAATTTATTATGTGTCTCGTGTTTTCTTATATTGCTGCGTTTTGCCTGGGCCCAACAAGTGGCCATAACCAAAGATAATCATGTTTACACTTTCTGGTACAATTCCTCTGATACTGATGTAGCTACATACACCTTTGATTATTGTGACATAGTTACCTGTACATTCCCACAGACACAACATGCAGCCATATACAAGGACATACCTGACAAAAAGGACCCATACATTTGTGTGACTGGAGGAGCTTGGGGACACCACTGTAGTTCATGGAAAGCTGCCGGGTGGAATACAGGTAGACCATGGGGCTACAGACCTCAGGTTGCACTAGATAGACTTGACAAAGACGGGAAGCCCCTACTTTCTAGAATGACTCTTAGTAAACCCACAGGGTCAACTCCCATCAAACTTACCTTGAATATAGAACACCCTAGTCCAAGGGACGCGGGGGAATATGTGATGGGGATGTACTGGAAGGGAGGTGGCTCACACAATGCACTGGGGACATTCTACCTACAAGACATGCTCACCTCCCCAGACTGGGTAGGGACCACTCACATGATCGTTAACCCATTAAAACCACATATTAAGACCCTACATGACATGGTAGCTATAGCCAACCCCACCTTTGAAGACACTATGGCAGTGGAAACTGGTTTCTCAGACACTAATTTATGGCTGGAATGGATGAGGTATAATGCCAACTCACACAATAAGACCAATTGTTATGTGTGTGGAGGAGCCAGACCCCATCTGGGCACAGTTCCTCTGAATTTGCCTCCTGAAGTAGAATCATGTGTTCTGAGCCTTTACACACAGTCCGTCACCAATTCCTCGACATGTGAATCATGGAAGAGAATTTACCCGATCACTCACGGACATGTAAAACCACCTGATGGAGTCACCATCTACCCAGGTAATTACACATGTTATACAATATCTAAAAACACCGGTTTATATCTGGGCAAATTCCCATCAGGATATGGGTAAGCTCAACTTACCATAATCCACCCGTATCACTGCTAATGAATCACACAAAGACAATCGGTGATATCTATTGGTTATGTGGGGATAAACAGTTGAGGTCCCAATTAATTGGACAATGGTGGGGGGAGTGTGCCCTAACTAAAGTTATAATGCCTATCCATATCATCCCAGATGGTGACCATAACACATTAAATCTCACACATGTACACTCTAGAACCAAACGAGAGACTCCTATTCGAGGGAGTTTCGACCCCCATGTGTATATTGATGCCATAGGTGTGCCAAGGGGGGTGCCTAACGAATTCAAAGCAAGAGATGAAGTGGCTGCAGGATTTGAGCCCCTAATTCCAATGATAACTGCTAACAAAAATGTCAATTGGATTAACTACATTTACTATAATCAACAGCGTTTTGTCAACTACACTAGGGATGCCCTACAGGGCCTGGCAGAACAATTACAAGCCACTACCCAAATGACATTTCAGAACAGAATGGCCCTAGATATGATTTTAGCCGAGAAGGGGGGTGTATGTAAAATCCTCCCTGAGACCATGACATGCTGTACATACATTCCAGACAACACTGGGCCCAATGGTAAGGTGACTATGGCCATAGAGAAGCTAGATAGTCTTGCAGATGAGCTAAAGAAAAATTCAGGAGTCATCGACACTTGGGACAGATGGTTTGGATGGATGAATGGTTGGCAAAGGACCCTCTTCCAGGTGGGGACAGCTGTTCTCATAATGATCATCATTTTCTTATTTCTGACCTGTTGTATATTCCCCTGCATACAGAAGTATCTACAGAAAGCGGTAGACAAGACTATAGATGACGTGACCCCTACTTTCATACACCAAGACATCACAGACCTCGAAGATGATACTCCACATACACCCCTTCAATCACATCAGTTCAAACAAACAACTGCTTTCCTGTAGGGACAGTATAGGGAAAGCGTCTGTCTTAACTGGCGAGTCTCACGTGTGGAGATGTAGTGGACTAGCCACTGCGGGTTACCCGCGGAGTGAAGTGTTCGATGCTAGTTAAGGCAGATAGGTTGCAGGCAACTAGGGACATATTAGGGATAGTAGCAGTTGTTATGGTAAATAGCCATTTTAGGGGGGACTGTTGTGGAAATAAGGTCTACACATATTTCCTAGTTAGTGAAAAATGTCTATTTACTCATTTCACAATATATATATATATAGCTAAGCACACACGTTATAATTAAGATGGCTGCTAGAAGCTTCTAGCTCCTTTTCCCCCCCTTCCCTTTCTCCTTCCTAACATTGACTAACTACCTCGTGCACCAAGATGGCGCTGGGAAACCGTGGGAGACCCTCATGGCCCCGGTGACATCACCTACAGTAGGCAGAGCATTGAAGCAACCACTTAACACCTAACCAATAATTGATGTATTATTCCATGTTATCTCTGACAATGCTTATGATGTAATTTTGCTTTAAAAGGGACTTGCCGTCCCCTCTGAATAAACTTTTCCTCAAGTTATTCAACAACCTGGAACCTGTGTCTGGTGTGAATTACTTCAGGGAGCGTGCACGCATTGTTTCATTGATTTGGCCAGGGGCAGATACACAAAGAAATAATCAATACTTTAATTGATTTTTCCATTTCAGTGCATGCCATTCACCTGTTCAGCATGTTAAGCGAAGTAAAGCCTGAGGACTGCTTTTGGGGCACCTCAAGCCTGTATGTATCAGTTATATGCACTGCAAAAAAAATAAAAAATGAAATGTCTAAGTAATTTGTCTTGTCTGTTGTGACAAATGACTTAGACATTTCGTCCTCGACCAAACGAGCTCTAGAGGGTCATTAGGGAACAATACCATATTTGTTTCGACAACAGTGCTATTTTAGCTATTTACCATTATATATATTTAGTTCCATCTAATGACTGATTATATAAATTGTTGTTAGTTTTTGTGACTGTACCAGTCCACTATTTTTGGACATTTTAAATGTATCATTTATTATAAGTGATGTTTTAACTAATTATTGATACCTACTTTTCAGTATTCCACTTTTTCTATACGTTTTGTTTTTGCAACCTCCAATTTTCTTTTTGGTATGTGTTCAAATTAATAGGGGTTATCCCCCAGCTAGGAGGTATTTGCAAATTTTGGCTCCAATGTTTTCAATTTTCTCCCTTTTTTTTCTCTAATCGCAGGATAATTTAAACATGATAACTCTGAAATCAGTAGTACCCATTTATGTGCCACTTCCCAAAATGTCATAGTAAAAAATAACTAAAGTACTTACATACACATACGAAAAATACATAAATGACACAACTCCGGTTTTTTAATCTTTTTTTTAATTTATTTTTCTTAACAAACATTTCAGTTCTACAACTATTACCCAAAACAAACATGATAAGAAAAAAAAAAGACAAGAGCACATCATTTCACCATATCACATTAAATATAAAAACCCTATGGCACATGTTAGAAAGGTCACATTATAACCAGAACAGCAAAATAAGAAGGAGGAGAGACCAAGTTCTTAATCCACAGGGACATCACGAGGTGCGACAGCTCTCCAGCTGGTACCGTTCAGTCACTGGGGTTAAGGCATATCAGGAAGAGGCATGGAGGGATGGCCAGGTTGCCAAATGGATGTCACCTCGTGGGAGACACAAAGAGATTTGTGAATTTAAGCAACCATGCAATACACTAATACTTTTATGTTACACCACTTAGTGCCGCCAAGCTATGCTTGCTAACACCCCTTCGTGTACAAGCATTGAATGAATCTATTGTGCTCAGAACTGAATTATCAGCAAAAGTATATTTTTTCTTCTCTTTCTAAACAAATCAGCATGCATTGTCATTATAGTCATGGTTTTAAAAAAAATGATTAACCATAATCTTCGGATTTTAAGAACCAAATTAAGCACAGGAAACCTCAACACCAACCCCCCAAAAATAACAACAAGCAATTAGTTCTGTTTATTCCGCTGTAATATAAGAGCACTTCACATTTTCCGATGGAAAAAAAAGGTAAACTTGTAGCCATTTGCCTTACCGAATTTGTAATGCAAAGTAGCACACTGGAGTTTATGCACACTCCTGATTGTCATTTAATATAGTAGCCATAACCGCCACCATGTAAAACAAAAGAAACCAATAAATAAGAGAAACACCCAGCCCATTTACCCCAGAAAATATTGATCACGTGTCTCTGCAATGGAATGCTGCAAAGCTAGTAAGGTAAGTAAGGTATCAAAACATTCAAAATATGTTGTAGTAAAGGAGTATGAATATACACTGGACTAGTAGCACAATGCCATAAAAATGTTTATTTTAGTCTCCCACTGATCTAGGTCCTCAAGGTCTCAAAAGATCCACCAGTTTTTAGTATTATATATTTTGGTATAGGTCTGTAATATCATGCTGCATCTTAGTGAATAAGTTATTGTTATGTTGTTAAGGTTTGGATTCAAAGAAGATGGTCTTTTCTTGAGGAATTGGAGGTTAAAGAGGAAATAATTGCTTAAAGGTCAAAGGGATATCTTATTTGGGCAATAAGACAATATTTATTTGAACCTGTAATAATGTGGGAGTACACATGGGTGAGATTATGTCAGCAAGGAAGCAGCCATAGGGCTTAACATGCTTCATGACTCATAAAGTGCTTACTCATAAGCATTGTTTAATATTTTGGAGAGAAGTACACCATTATGTTCTCCACCTCCTTTATGACCATTTTGCTGGGTTTTGCACAAAATGAGCAACCAGAAATCTTTATTTTTGTCATCCTAAACTTGGCTAGCTTCCGGACCTCACTCCTTTCTGAGTTCTCCTACCATCTTGGTGATCGCCAAGAACTAAAGTAAATCATCAATAAGTCCTATAGCTACATGAACCTTATGTTTTAATTTGTAGGGAAGAGTTGCCAGCGGGTGAATACCTCTACACTGAGTTCAAGAAGTATGCCCCATTATCTAGCAGAGATGATCTCAGAGTTATTCACTAAAGTGTGAATTCTCAAGCACATTCAAAGTTTAAGGTGAAAATAGCTCAACTGGAAATATTCTCCATGTCCATTATGTTTTTGGTTCAGCTATTTTGACCTAAAATGAGAAATTATCTTTAAGATCCTGTGACATACACACTTTACTGAGTAACCCTGTCTGATTTTTTTGTCAGAACTCATTCGACATCTGCATTCTCTCTATCCTCCTCACACTGTTATATTACTAAAGTCAAACTTTTCTCAATTCTCAGACACTTTTAATTCCCATTCTAGTTGCTCTACAAGGAGTTCATTATTTTATTCACATTGAAGACTCTATTTCCGGTTGATGTGAACTCAGAAAATGAAATAAAGTCATGTTCCTCCTGTGAAGAGCCATTCTCAAGTGTCAGTCTTTATATAGCTATTCCTGCAATGTGAAGAAGGAGGTGATAGGGGCCTTTTCTTCACACACCTCAAAGAAGAAAATAAGTCTTTTTTTTGAGGTGATAAATGATTACTTCTGCTCTACTGCCATCAAAGTCTGTTAGTAACTGATTGTCTTAAAGGCCACTTTAATAGCGTGCAATCTTCCTCATGAGTATCTGCATCCCAGCTTTCTTCAGAAATATTTGTATCATCTATCTGGTCAACATTATTATTTTACATTACAGACTATGGTGTTTTGTCTTCTCTGGAAGGTGTGTTTGGTCAAATTATCCACCTGGAGCACATTTAAAATAAGCCTTTTAATTCTGAACATTTTTAAAATTATATCACTCCTTGGTTCACCTTGAGCTATTTGTTTATTCTTTTGTAATGGTGCCAAGAATATTCAAAATATCTTCATGTTTACGGGTGTTTTCTCTTCGTGGTAAACAACACCTGCCAGTATCGCTGCTCATTCTTTATATTTGATTCTACTCCGTTTCATTCATGTTAGTATGAGCCACAAAAAGAAAATTATAGACGATATGAAGGCATGTTCTATAATCTATATTTAGCTCAGTAAGGTTGTGGTGAGAAGCAACAAATATTTTCGGGAAGGTTTCTATAAAATAAATGGCCGTTTAATAATCTGAGGAAAACATTAGCTATGTTTTAATGTCCTGACTGTTTGTCTAAATCTTGACATGTGAATGAAGTATCGATATATCTTTGGATCCAGCCAAATTAAAACCTAAAAGTCCTGGTATAATTCCTGTTCTGGAAAAAGTAATTTGCATGTCCATCTTCAGTCCTCTTCAGTAAACGTGTTCAGTAAAGTTAACCTACATATTTAATACAAATAAACATGAAACATAAACCCAGCCAATTCTTTAATAGTCACTCCTGACACATCCTATGCTCCACAGCCCATAATATACAACATAAGGAAACAAACCACTCAGGAAATATCAAGCCATATCTTTAAACTCAACCCATCCAAAGCTTCATCTTACAGAAGCAATGCAAACACCAGAGCAACACCTTTAAATTAAGAAAAATATATATTACTCATTACTATATTTATACCCCACAATCCTACTGCATTTTTTTCTGCCATTCTGTGTATCGATTTTGGAACACCTCCCACTTTATAAAAAAAAAACTGAAGAACAGATATTGAAGTACTTGAATTAAGAGGCTAGAAGAATGTTCAGAGCATCGTTGTAATGAGGGGATTAAAACTGCAGTTACTTCAACCCATTTAGTGGTTTGATTGGGTTCTTACTATAACATTATGTTATCATGGTTTAATGAAAACGACAAAAACAAGATTGTATTATTATTGCCTGTCTTGTAGAATTGATTTGCCATAGCTTCACATATTGTTATAAATGATAATCACTTGAATCTTCAGATATGTCTTATGGTAACACTAATCGCACAGATATTTTGGACCAACATTGTAGGACTATATTGTCTTGTGAACCAGATGATAGTTTATAAGAAAATGTGGCATACCACCCGTATCTTGATATTTTATAGCAGCAGCCTTCATTCACAATGACAGATGGGTACAGACATCTAGGGTGCAGTGGGATTCTTCTTGGAACTCATCCTAATTATTCAAGAGTACACCAGTAACATAACTTCTGACAGATGATGCTGCCAGGAGCTAAATAGAGAACTAAACTGGTAGGGGCCTTTGCCAAGGAGTACCGAATAAGTATATCTCCTTTAGCCCTCTCTCCCCTAGAGTGCTGTCATGCAAGTGGACATGTCCCATTGGGAGGCCTTTGCTAAAAATACAAAAACTCCACATGGATGTGACATTGCTAATTTAAGGACCATATTGTTCTGACAGCATGGATCCTCATTGTTCCTTAGGAGGTTAATGTATTAACACATACAAATTGATACATTAATTTATTTTAAGATCATACTGCTCTGCATGGGAGTCATATAATTTACCAGCAGTAATTATTAATCAACTGCAGGTCCTACAGTTATGATCTTTAGTTTACTGCATGCATATTTATTATGTCTGATGATAAACTGCCTAAAACTCAGAGAGATCATATACAATATTAATACATACTTAAGCATTTTTTTTTATTATAAAATAGAAATGTATCATCCCACCCACTTTGGTAGCAAGTATGTATTATTAATTTGTATTTATATTCATTAATGTTAATTTTAACACCCACTCACGCAATAACGGATTGGGGGTGGCATTAATTTGTTGCAAAATCTGTTATGTTAAATTCTACTTCCTGAAATTGTGTTACCATTGTTTGTGAGTCTTTTTGATCAGATGAAAAAAAGAACAGCTCGGGTTAATTTTTTTTATGGTTTGCTTTTCTTCATTAACCCCTTAATGGCAAGGAGCAAGGCATACTCCTTCATATCATGGTAAGCCTTGCATCCCGTTAATCCTTAAAGGGTTACATTAGTTCTGTTGTCAGATATTACACTGTTGAAGAAGTAGGGCAGAACGGCTTACTTCCTTGAGGGCAAGAGCATTTGGAGGACGATAAAATCGCCGCATGTCTTAGCACACTTATCTCTATACAAGCTGCGTGAAGGGACTCGGCCATTTATTTCAGAAGCAATTATGAATGCGTTCATGATAACAAGATTATTAGGTTATATTTAAATAGTCCCACTCATGTCAGACTGTTGGGCAAGATGTAATATGAAGACAAATAAAAAAAAAAAATCATCAATCCACAATATTTTACCGAACTCAAATAATGCCTAAATAGTTTGATAAATAATCATCTCTATCTTTTTGAAGAAAAAGAGCTATTCTTAAATTCATTAAAATGTCAGTTTAATTGTGTCTTCATTTGAAACTAACAGGGTTATTTACTTAAAGTAGAATTGAAAGTGAATTTCAAAGTTAAGGTCACAAGAGCTAAAACGGAAAAATTCTCTAAATTGGCTATACTTTCCGATCAGCTACTCTGGTCTTAAATTTGAAATTCACCTTGAATTCACTTTGAATTCTTACTTTAGTTAATAACCTGGTAAATCATTATCACTAAGGTGAGAACTGTCAGGAATCCAAAGTGAATTTCAAATATCAGGTCAAAAAAAGGCAAAGTGAAAAAATGGGAAAATTTGAAATTCACTTAGAATTCCTAGAAAGTCTCACTTTAGTGAATAATCCTTTATGTAACTTACTTTACAAGTAATAACTGAACTCAAACATGATTATTTAAAATGCACCTGGATAACTTTCAGACTGGCTGTGGCCTATTTTGGATTTTTGTGAATTCAGCAGTGCAGGCATATAAGAAAAGACTTCGACCTTGAAGCAAGGTAGAATTTAAAGGAACATTATAGGCACTACGACCACTTTATCTTAAGGAAGCGGTCTGGAAGCGATGTACCCCCTTTTAACTCTGCAGTTGAAAACATTGTTCTTCATTAATAACAATGTTTACATGCCTCTAGTCTAACGTTGCTTCTGTAAAACTCTGCTATTTTTGTCAGATGGTCTCAGGAGACCATCTGATTGGTGCAGCATGGCGTTTTGCAGTACACGCACATTAGCCTCCCAGTGCTTTCCTATGGGAAAGCATTGGATTGGCTATGATCATCAACATTGATGATCTCAGCCAATAAAGAGGAGGAGCTACATGGAGGAGACTGGTGCTGTGAAGGCTGACTAGATAGTGCTCTAAATAGTGACTAGAGCACTATTTAAAATAGTGACTAGAGCACTATAGCGTTAGGAATACATATTTTATTCCGAACACTATAGAACTCCTTTAAATAAAATCTGTAAAAGCTCATCAAATTTATATCTGATTAAAGGGATGTTATGGGTGATTATTTACAGCCCATGCACTACACCCCAACAAGTTTCATATTTTTGGGAGAAAACAAACAATCTTATTTAAAGCTAAGTTTTACTACACTGTGAAGTTAAAGGGAAACTGGTCTGATACAGTGTAGAACAGGGGTACCCAAAATGTAGATCCCCAGATGTATTAAAACTACCGCGTCAATGATGCTTTGTCATTCTAAAGGCATTCTAAAGCATTTAAAGCATCATGGGAGTTGTAGTTCTACAATATCTGGGGATATACGCTTTGGACACCCCTATTCTACACTTTATCAGACCAGTTTTCCTGGTCGCGTTTGCATTTTTTTCCATCATTCAAAGGTCAAACAGATTTGGATGCATAAAGCCAAAGTAAGGATTTCTCTTTGGCTGCCTTGGAGATGGGTTTGGGATACTGGTGAACCCAGGTTTTTTTTTTTTTTTTTTAAACGCTGTAAAACAGTTTAACAGAAAATTTCCTCTCCCGTATGTTGCTACTGCTTTTCAAAAGGTCTGATTTTTGACACTTCATTTTTTCTCAAACATCTCACTTCTTCCCTCATGTCACTTCTTTCTGGTTTATTTACTTTAATATTATATTACCAGTTTTTATCTCCTCGTCCATATTATCTCACCAATTTAACTGCTGTTAAAAATATATATTTACACTTTTATTTCTGCATATATTATTTTACCTAGTTTCCATAGTATCTTTACTTTCCCTTTTCACAATACTATTTAACATCACCATTGTTAGATTATTCCTTTGTATTGTCCCATCTTATCATATGAATCCCCATTATTAGATAAATTCTTTGTATCTCCCCTCCCATAACACCTCATATTATTACATTAATTCTTCATATCGTTCCAACCATATCATCTCACTCCATCATTATTAGATTAATCCATTGTATCTTATCTTCTCCAACCATGTTTTCTCATTCCCCCTTTACTTAAGTAACCCTTTGTATCCCCCTACCATAATCAGCCGACGTGATCATTGTTGCATTATATATTCATGTCTTTTTACATCCTTTGTAATGTTTCTGCTTTCTATTCTTTCACCTTCCTGCTTCACATTAGCTTTTTTATTTTAACCCCTTTTTATATCTATAATATCACTAACTCTGAGGACCTTCCTAACAAATGTCTCTCTTTCTTATCACATAGATATCTTAGAATAATGCTTCCTCTGATATCACCAGTGCAATCTTTAAACTCAGTGGCATGAGGTAAGAAAATGCCAATGCATCCTAAGTTCCAAGATTGGAATATGCTTGCCACAACATAAGAACAGAGTCCAGTAAATATAACATAATTACACTTCTAAACTGTAGGGCCATACAGTAGCATAACTAACGAGGGTAAGGGAGGGCTGGAAAAATCATGAGGTAGGTGGTGGTGAGGAGCAGGCCAATCGCCTGTCACAGGTCTTTGGGGTGACCACAAAGCGGGCTCTTATTCATTAAGGTGGAGTAGGCCCCATGCCTCCCCCTGACAGCAAGTGTTTACTCTGCTGAATGGGAGAGTAGGGACAGGAGCCAGAAGTCAGGCAGCAAGGGAGCACTGATATTCTTCCAGTTCCTCAAAGCTCCCGAGCTAGAATATGACATCACTGCAGCCCTCGCATAACTAAACACTCTGCGAGGGAGCTGTGAGGAACTGGAAGAGCAAAGGAGCCACTGGACCCCAGGGAGAAGATTCATCCCCCCCTGGATCCCAGGGAGAAGACCAATTTTACACTGGACACAAGAGAGAACATCCTAACTGGACCCCAGGATGCGGTAGGCAGGTTGCAGCTAAGGTGATGATGCTGCTCATGAGGACACACACGAGGACATTTTGCCTCCTGTAGTAAGCTTAGCCCCTCCCACCCTAATTTAGGCAATCAACTGCCAGGTTAGCTCTCTTAGTCACTCTAATGGATGATAATTAGCTAAATAGAGATACCCACCTAGTTTTACCACCGAAGACATGGGAGGCCCCCAGATAACATATATCTGAAGGGCTATGGGACTTCAATTAAGGAATATTAAGGGGGATTTCCCACACATTTTTTCATGCGCTCGATACTATACAAGTTCTAATTACATACATAACATGTTGTACTTCACTGTTGAAGTCGGCTAACAGACATTTTCCTAGAAGGCATTGGTGCATCCTTTATACTTCCTGATGGGCCCTGCTCCCCTTTGTATACTATTTTCCAGATAGGGGCAGGACTCTCCTAGGCTGCTGTGTTTAGAATATTAGTTTATCACTACACATTTTCTCTCTACCCATACACCCATGATTCAAGCTGCTTTTCCTTTCCAACCTCCCCTACAATACTTTTTAATATCGCATTCTGTATGGTGCAAATTTGGGTCAAGGCCAATGTACAGGTTTGGTTGATAAATGCAAGAGGTCCAAACCTATCAGAAAAGTGCACGCGGCTCCTAAGGGTAATGTGGACAGACTGGGCGTCCACCGTGATGTTGCAGGAGACGCATTTCAGAGAGAATAACTCTCCTGTGTTGAGGGATCACAGATATCCAATGGTCTGGAGTCGCAATATGGTTATCTCGCTGGTACCTTTTCAGCTACTTGATCTGAGGGCAGACTCAGATGAACGTATTTATTCTTGAAGTGCAGTATTAATTCCCAGACTTTTTCCACGGTTTATGCACCAAATTTTAAACAGCACGCCTTCATCAGGCAGTACATTTCATCAGGCAGTACATTTCAAGAGGAGAAATTGATTCTAGGGGGGCCGGGAATTTACATACTACTCAGTGGTGCATAAGACTCCATTGAGATTTCTACTGAGGAACTAAGATATACAGACGAATGGGGTTGTCCCCCATATACTACAAACATACTGCACCATTGTTTCTCCTTTCTGTCTCTTTACATGTGAAGTACCTTTTTAAATGACAAAGTAACCAACTAAGAAATCTAGGGGTCAAGTCCCACTAACATCTAACTAAGACACACATTTGATTGGCTGACTGGCATATCCACACCTCCCCTAAACTATGGAACACGCTAGGCATTAGTATGGCATAAAGCAGAATACCAGAAGCAGTGTGACCGGATGATGGAGGGATCCTGAACTTGTACCATTATTTTGGAGCTACATTGTAGATCTGGCATTTAGCGTACAGGCAAAAATCCCTATCTACGCTGTCTGGTCCGATGTACCCAATCACTAACAATCTTGCATTCTCAGTGGGAATGGAACAGCATGCATATGACTTCCTAAGGAGGTCTCGACTCTATTTGTACACAACATTACCCTGATGGTAAGTTCCGACCCTTGTCAAACTTGGTGATGGATAAACAACTTGGCCTGATGGAGAGATTTAAATATCACCAACTTTTTCATTTTTACCCATCAGTAACTCCAAGACAATTGCTGCGTAGGAATATTACCCTCTTTGAGGAAATCTGTTCCTGGAGGGAGCCTCTAGCTAAGGGTATTTACACACTTTATCAACTGATACTACTTATGATTGACATAGCTCCACCCAGGCTTCATTCCTATGAGGAAGAGGCCCTGAACACGGCATTTACCGAACAACAATAGTCCAAATTACATATTCTGTCACATCATGGTTCCATTATAAGATTCTAACAAACTGGTACAACACACCTCAGAGGGTGCACAGGCCTTTCCAGAGCCGCCCCTCTTATGCTGGAGGTGCTGGTATGCGGTTGGTTCCATGCTGCACATATTTAGGGAATGCTTAATAGTAGAATCATTTTGGAGGCAGGTGTATGGCATGAACACCCAGGTCACAGACAAGTGAGTAGCTTTCCACCCTGCAGATATGTTATTGCACTACACTAAACTGCCCATCTCCAAATATAAAAAAAACATTATACAAGCACTTGCTGCTAGCGGCGAGAACACTGTTTCCTGTCTTCTGGATGCCGCCCATGGCCCCTTCAATTACTAACTGGCTAGACAGAGTTAGGATACTAGAGGAACAAACAGCTAGGCAATAAGCAGGATAGAGATATACCAAGAGACATGGATGATCTGACTCTCCTACCTATCGCGAAATTAAAGATAAGTTCCTCCTCAACTTACCCACAGCAGGAGCACACATCATCTAGGAAGTAGAAAGACCAGCATGGGGAGTTGGGAGGGGCTCCTCTATGGACCAAGCCTTTCCCCCACCCATACCTGTCCTTACCCACCACTCTTCCCTTTTAGCCTCTCTCCACTAAACACTTGTTATATCTCTAAATAATTATCTTGCACGCTTTAGTTATCATCCTCTTTTCTAATGTCTACCTCCTGCAGTCAACTATTGAAAAATTGCAAACTTAGTCACACATTCTCACTAGAAATCTGAGATGCACAATCATGAGGCCTCACCTTCATAGAACAATCTAAATATGCAACAAGAGCGATAATGAACATTGCTGTGCAAAATATCAGTTAATGTACCTTTTGCAAAATGTGACAAGCTGACTGTACTATATTTTAATTTTTATTTATTTATACTCCTCACTCTCTAAAATGTTCATTGTACTACAATAATTATTTGAAAAATAAAGATTGTCAGAAAAAGAAAAGAAATATGAAATATGGAACAGACAACACATATTACCCTATAGGATTGGGGCATTTCAGGGAAGTTCAATCTCCTTCCACTCTACTTGACCCCTGCATAACATCATCAAAAATCTCATAATATAAAAAAACCAAACATGTTTACTGAACTCAGCAAACAAAACATTACTGCATATATAATAGCTCAAAACATGAATTACCGCTACATGAGCAAAGCATTATAGGAGCATCTTTCATTGCCCGTTGCCAATCATCGTCCAAATCACATAAATTGTTGTAATCAAATGTGCTTTCACAGTGGGTGGTGTAAATCATGGCCAACGGGTAAGATGAAATTAAAACCATACCCATACAAATTCTAAATGTGAATCAATTAGGAAATAGAAATGAACCATGTGAACAAATTGAATCTTACTGTTATAGATGGAAACAATATATAAAAATATAAAGAGAAATTCAAGCCCAAATTCGGCATAACAACCTGTATTCATGAGAAACATGGAGTGTAATGAAACACCAGAAATAGATAAAATATAACTGTTAATGAAATTTTATTAAAAAAAACTATCCACTAAGCGGATGTATAAATATAACGATATAGTACTTTGTAATTGAGAAGAAAATATCAATACAGATAAAAAAAAACAGTGACCAAACAAAAAATGGGTGCATCAAACTAAAGAGTACAAGTAAACAAAAAGAGAATTAAATAAAAGAACTTGTCTGGTGACAAAACAAAAAAGAGTGTGTGTGTTTTTTTGTCACTAGACAAGTTATTTTATTTAATTCTCTTTTTTTTTTTACTTGTACTCTTTAGTTTGATGCACCCCTTTTTTGTTTGGTCCCTTTTTTTTTTTTTTTTTTTTTTTTTTTTTTTTTTTTTTTTTTTTTTTTTTTTTTTTTTTATCTGTATTGATATTTTCTTCTCTATTACAGAATACTATATTGTTATATTTATACATCCGCTTAGTGGATAGTTTTTTATAAGATTTCATTAAAAGTTATATTTTATCTATTTCTGCTGTCTCACTACACTCCATTAGTATATTCTAGGGTTAAAACCCCTTATAGGGTAGTAAATCGCCTCCCTATTAAGCATTTACAGTGGTAGACAACATCTGCACCACTTCCTTCAACAACCTGTATTCCTTACATATAGTGAAGAAGGTCCTGTCCCTGCACACAGGGATATAAACAGTAATTACTAAACAACAGGTGAATGGCATCCGGTTGCCAAGTTTAGCTGTAAATTGCTCTCACTTGGTTATTCATAAAAGACAATTATAACTTTTAGCTGAATTTACATATCTATTTGGCGGCTGTTCAAATAGCTGTGGAAATCAGCCAAATTACTATGTAAGTTTGCTGAGTTGGTTATTGACACAGAGCCGAATTTCAATCAAGTCCACTTCATTTATATTATCCATATCCCCTGATAGAGAACAACAGGGCAATTGCTCTTGTAATCCTAAATCTATCCTTATAACCTAAAACATCCTAAATCTATATGCTTCCCACTACCCATACAAGTACACATACCGTTCTGACATGCTTCATAGCAAGAGGTTTTGGGAGTTGTAGTTCAGTTGTCAGTTTTCTACAGCAGAAAATTGACAAGTAAATTAGAAGTTCGTGAAATATGGGAGAACTGTTTTGGATTCTTTTTTATTACGTTTTTGTTTATAAATTATAAATATTATAGATACATTTATATAACACATTAAAAAGATTGGGTTGACTTCATTCTAATTGTCCCTTGCAGACAGAGCCACTTTATTTCACTTTCGCCAGTTCCAAAAATAAGATGTAGGATTTATTTACTTACCACTAACAAGGTTATTCACTAGCAAGGATTATCAGAAATTCAAAGTTTATTTCAAATTTAAAGGGATACTATAGGCAACAAAACACCTTCAGTGTAATGAAGCAGTTTTAGTACATAGATCATGCCCCTGCACTCTGATCATGCCCCTACAGTATAACTGCTCAATTCTTTGCCATTTAGGAGTTAAACCACTTTGTTTATGAAGCCCTATTCACACCAACCTGCATGTGACTTGCACAACCTTCCTAAACACTTCCTGTAAAGAGGGATCTAATGTTCGAACGTCCTTTTTTGCACAGTATGTTTAATTTCGAATTTATAATTTACAGAGCAGGGTAAAACATTTTCAAGTAAATTAATAGCTGATTCAAAATGAAACCATGTTATTCATGAAGGCTGTGTGCATCATAGTCAAGGGAGGTGTGCCTAGGGCTTTATAAACAGAGACAAAAGTGACTTAACTCCTTGATGGCAGATAAATAAGCAGTAATACTGTAGGGGCATTGTCTATACACTAAAACTGCTTCATTAAGCTAAAATAGTTTTGATGCCTTTGGTGTCCCTTTAAGTCTAAAAGAGTCAAAATGGAAAAGTTCTCCAAGTCAGATTTGCTTCCAGTTTGGCTACTTTGGCCTTAAGTTCTTGGAATTCGCAACAATACTCACTTCAGTAAATAACCCTCTAAATTAAACTGACTTGTGATAAATTAGAGAATGTTTCCAGCTCTGCCATTTTTTAATTTATGGACAATTATTCGGCACAAACAGACATCACTTTTCAGGTTGCCAACTCACATTTTATAGCCTTCCATAAGAGGGGTTCACTATTTCAATAAATTTTATTCCAGTGCATGGGTAATGATCCAAACGGACCAATGAAAACCACTGGCTGCACAATGTCGTCATTTAGGACCTGCAGCTCGGTGTTGCTGTAGTGGAAAAAATGCCTGACATCCAATAGCTAAGCATTTTTAATATAAGTTAAATTATCTGTGCATACAATTTGTAGAGTAGGTAAAAGTCACCTCTTGGATATGGCAATGGTCCAATAGTTTTTCCAACTAAAATACTCTTTTAAACTGTCACAGCAAAAATGTAGAACGACATAGTATCTCAAACAATAATACAGAATATGCATCGATGTGTCTGCCCCATACCCAAGTATATAAATGGAGGATTATGGCATTTATCACTTGAACGTATTGCAAATGTTTGAATCATATCAAAATCTCTGAACTTCTAACCTACTGATCAAACCAATAAGGTCTTAATCTGGCAAAATCCTAATACTCTAATCTTGTAAAAAATGGTATCAAATACATCAAACTGGAAAAACAACACAGGTACAACAAGAGAACTGTTACCACTTAATTAAGAACAATACTCGTGGGTCAGCTTAGCATACAGGTCCAATATACAATATTGTTTTGTCTGATAAACTGGTTGCTATACAGATCTGTGCTTTGAAAACTTTAGATGACCTATTTTAAATCTCACCAAGCAGCAAATTTTACATTCTTACTGTCTTATTCGCTTCCCCAAGTTTTAAATAAGACACTGTTAACTTCGTCTGCTTGTCTTGGTATAGCCTTTTTCACTGTTTTTACTTAAAGTGTTTGGCTCATTTGGCAGAATGTCACATCAGTCCTTAGAACGAGGTCCCTTCGCAGTTCCAGAATGGTCTTCCAAGTTGCATCTTTGATGTCCAATGTTTCTTCTTTTTCTTGTCAACTCAGTCAACTGAGATTTAACATAACAGCTGTGGGAGACACATTAAGACTTTCTGTTCAAAATATTTATATTTTTCCTTTTTTTTCTTTAATTGCTTTTGCGTTTTTTTTTTAGTTACTCCACTGCAGGGGCAGCTCGTGAACAGCAGTGAGGCTTTCTGTGCGAAAAGCATGAGCGAAAAGCATTGGGTTGCCTTTTGGGCTCACTTTTTACTGTTGTTCCTCGAACTGAGCTCCCTCTTGTGTTTTGAGGGGTCATCACTTTCTGCCTGCCATGTTCTTCAATCTGCTTTTCCAGATGTTTCTGTATTGCCATCCCCAAAACTTCTACTTCCATGGATGCTCCATACACTTCCCAAGTCATCCCTTTCTCGTCCCAACTAACCTCTCGTACCGGTTCTGGGTGATCTCCTTTGGGATCTTTTACACGGACTTCAGGATAAGAAGTGCGGGGAGACTTGCCAGTGGGTGTCATTGGGTCAGTAGCGACAGATTTGGTTTCAACTCTAATAGATACTTGCATTTCTGCATCCTTTAAGCTAGGCCTTACATTGGAACATCCTGAACTTGAAGTACCTTGATTTATCGCCTCAGTTTGAAATATGAAAGAGCAAGACCCATCTAAGGGTACAAACGGACTAACAGCTACTGATGTGCACAGTACACTTATGTCAACCTGAACTCCAACATCCTGACTCTGAGGTTTAAGCTGAAGTGACTTAGCCTCTGAAAGTGCACTTGATTCTGGATCGGTCTGTTTTGTTTGGAATGTAAAAGTAGAGGACTCCTGTGGCAGAACAAATGGGCTTACAGCAACAGACACACATTCAACTTTGTTAGCTTGAGTGCCAATGTCCTGACTTGGTGGTGTTATCTCAACTGAGCATGTTTTAGGCAATATGTTTTGTTTTTCTGTTTGGAAAGTAAAAGAAGATTCACCAGGTGGAACAATAGGACTTACAGCCACAGATCGGTATTCCACTTTTTTGCCTGTCCAAGTATCCTCATCAGGAGGTGTGAGCTCAAACGAGTAAGTCTTAGAAAGATTATCTATGTCTTTAGTATCTTTTTCTGTGTGGAACGTAAAAGAAGAAGCTCCATCTGGAGGAACAATAGGACTGACTGCCACAGAGACACATTGGGCTCTGGTGCGAATGGTCTGGTTCTGCATTTCAGTGGTTCCTTTTTGATGCTGTAGATTTGTAGCTGAGGAAATTGACTCATTTTCTCCTGCTTTGCCTGCAATGTTCATGCCAGTTTCCTGATGCTTTTGTTCTGATTGAAAAATAAAAGAAGGTGATCCATCTGGAGGAATAATTGGGCTAACTGCTACTGAAACACATTGTACTCTGTTGTCTGCCTGTGTCCCTACATCTTGATTAATTGGAGTCAACTCAGAAGAGTATGTTTTTGAGAGTACATTACTACTTTGTTTGTTCTGTGCACCTGGTGTAACATTAGAGGTGCTTTTTAATGTTTGGAATGTAAATAAAGTTCCATCCGGTGGGATAATGGGACTCACGGCTACAGATTTACACTCCACTCTGGTCTCAGTTCCAACATCTAAACTTGGAGGTATTAGTTCAGATGAACATGTTTTTGGAAAACTATCAACACATGTTTTGTCTGTTCTCTGATCCGTGCCAAAACCATGTTGAGATATAGTGGATTGAGAGCTGGGTTCTGGTTGAAATGTAAATGATTCTGATCCATCTGGTGGAATAATGGGACTTACTCCTATGGACCTAAATTGCGCTGTTGTATCTGCACTGACTTCCTGACTGGGAGGAGTGAGCTCAAACGAATATGTTTTAGGTAGCTGCTCCTTATTATTAGCTGTCCCGACATTATGAGAATTTGTATCAGATGAAGTCCCTATAGTTTCCACTCCAGAATGAAATGTAAAAGATGTTCCACTCCCTGGAGGAATAATGGGGCTTACAGCAATAGATCTGTACTCCACCTTGTTGGACTGTGCGCTAATGTTGTTCCTGGGAGTCACCTGCTCGCAAGACTGTGTTTTTGTACTATTGTCCCAACCGGCAGTCTCCTTACAGCCTTTGTTTCCATCTGATGAGGTTTTGTGTTTTTTTTCATTGCTGATATTCTCTTTGTCTTGTTTTGGTGCGTCTGATAAGATTTCACCTAAAGGATTTTGACCTTCTGATCCAGAGACTTTGCATGTATTCATGGTGGTACCTGCATTTGAAGTTGCACAAGAATTGTTAGAATGTTCCTTTCTTTCACCAGGGTGTGGGGGTAACTGGGGAGTGGCTTTTGCGGGTTCCACTGAAGAAGAAACTTTTGAAGGTGAAATGCTGGTGTCCGGTGCAGAAGGCATGCAAGATTCATATCCAGTCTCACATGTGTGAGATGTTTTGTTTTTTGATATCCTTGTTTCAGTACTAAGCTTCTGTATTTTCAAGTCACTCGAAGGTTCAACCACAATATGTAAACCTTCTCCTTCTGGCACAGATTCACAGTGGGTTTGCTCACTGGTAACCTTGCTGCCATATATTATACTTTCACAGGAGATCCCTGCTGTTTTAATGCTGTCCTGTTTAATGTCTGCACATTCTAGGACATCTTTTGAGGTTTTAAAGTCTGTTTGTGCTATTTCTTTATCCCGGGAGGCAGTGAATGCACACTCTGCCAAGGATCTCTCAGACCTGCTCAAATCCATGCTAGAATCATGTTGTTTTAATGACATTTGCTCTTCCTGAACTTCCAGAACTGTATCCACAGAATTGTCCCTTTGTGCTGCTAGAAAGCTCTCTCCTTCAGTATCAAAGCTAAAACTTCCTTCCATAAAATCATTATCACCATGTACGCTGGCACAGAAATTTCTCATGCTTACATCCTCTCCAGTGAACCCTAAATGGCGTGTAGGATCTTCTGCCTGCCAGATCCTGGATGATATGGGTGATCGGAGGGAAATGCTTTCGCTGCCAACATCTGGTTTTGACAGCTGTAATCTCTGTAGTTCTTTAGGACTGCCCATCTCTGGACCAAGTTTCTTCCATAATATTCCAAGTCTTCCCTAGGAATGTTCTGAAACATGAGACAGAAAGACGAACAAAAATTAGGATCCAAGGAAAGAAAAGTCTACATATGAAATAAACATGTCATTATACCACTAACAGACATTATTAACCATGGTTGTTGGTGGACTACAGCCCTCATTAGCCTCAGCCAACCAGATTGCAGCAACAGTCCATCAACAGCTGATGCTATTTTTTCTATCCCTTGTAGGTGTGTTTTAAATATCTAATTATTCTGCAATGCTATGTGAATGTTATCAGGTGTAATGTAAGGGTAAGGCATGCATTTATTGTTGATAACATCTGCTCTTTAAAGCAAGAGAATTCTCAGCAAAGACAAAGGAAATGAATGTACCACAAATGATTACGTTCACGGGCCCTTTACATTTGTTTGCAGAAACCTATTCATTTATCTGTTCTGTTAATCTATTTGCAATGCATGTCAAATATATGTAACCCCTGTCTCAAAGTCAACAGCACTTATTGCATTCTCTGAATGATAAAACTTATCTGTATCTCCATTATCCTTTATATTTGATTATCCATTCCATATTCTTCAATAAATCTGATTAGATAGTTGCAATTCCCCTCTCACTCCTGCACCCTGACGTCACCTTTATGGTAAGATGAAATTCTTTTGAGAGAGCCTTGTGTCAGTGTGTCACAGTCTCTGTCTGTCAAGCACTGCGGGGATAGGGTGAGTAAATTGGCAGTATGGAACAGCTTTAATTTTCAAGCACTGCAGGGGCAGAGATAGCAAACTGTCAGTCTCTAACAGTTTTCATCCATTTTGTCAATATTGCATTGGGAAACATTTTAATTTCAGCTTGGATGTCCATATAATGAACTAACCTGCATTTTTTATGAACTGCAAGAGTCTTAAAGAATTGCAGATAACTCCAGGGTCCAGCACACTTTCAAGGTATTTCACGGAAGTGAGAATTCAAAATGAATTTCAAATTTAAGGCCAAAGTAGCCGAATTCGAAGCAAAATTGACTTAGAGAATGTTTTCAGCTTAGCAAATCACACCAATCAATTTGAATTCTCACTTTAGTGACTAGCCCTATTTAATTCCTGCCACACGGCACCCACCCATCCCTTGCCATAAACATAGTTATAATTATTTTCATTGTTAACCCTTCATTCTCACTTAGCCAATTCTTATTTCATGTATCTTTTTCCTCATTACCTTTTCCCTGTGCAGAAATGCAATACGTCTCATCTTCATTTAGAATGTTGTCCTTTTAAATCTCCTCTTGTCTCTTTTTGTTTAATATCCCCTGCTCACATAATCTACATTGCTACCTCTGAATTTCCTTCCTCCCTTCTCTTAAAGCAGCTCTGTTACCACAAATAAACTTTATCTTATCTGCTAGCTTCCTGTGTTTATACCTCATTTTTTCCCCCCAGCACTCTGGTTTTCATAAAATACATGAGGTTTTGACTAGAGACAACTTTTCCTAATGTAAAGCAGCCAGGTTGAAAAAACTGGACAATGGGTGAAGCTTACACAGGACTCAGTTTCCAATCAAATTACCCACAATCCATCAGTAAGAGGGGGGTGATCGACATGTATATTATTAGACGCCGCATTGACTTCTGCGGGGCGAGAAATGCAAGCACCATTTTGGGCCGGTCGTACTTCTAGTCATTGACATATATATGTCTATACTTCAAGTTGTGTAACGTTACTGTAACGTTGCCGCAGGTTCTCTTGACCCTTGTAGAGAAAAACAGTGTTCCAGTTGTAAGCCACCTCGGCCCCAGGTCTTAGTAGGAACCCTTGCTGTATGTCCACGAACCTTTCCGTTCCCAGCAGCAGGGTGGTAAACCCGAAGGTTCTCCGGTTTCCAGACTTTCCTGCGGGTGTGTGGATGGCGGTATGGAGGTAACTCCCGGCGGGCTCCCAGCTCAAAAGAGGGGCGAACCACTAGGACAGCATCGGTCTTCTCCAATAGATTCTTCAATAGTTTGAGGTTAAAACAAGGGATGTCATCAAAACTAATCAGGATAGCTGATACAGCAATCTGTAATAGTCATGTAACGTAGTATTTAACCCCTTAAGGACACATGACATGTGTGACATGTCATGATTCCCTTTTATTCCAGAAGTTTGGTCCTTAAGGGGTTAAACAACTAGTTTCATTACCAATTTAAGAACTTAACCATGTTTATTTTACATGCAAATTTTAACTAAAAAGTTAGGGGGGAAAAATAATAATTGGTGACATGCAGTAGCAAAAGTGCCGGAAAAGTGGCACATCAGCTGGACTGACACGATGTGTGGAGTGCTCTTGAATGGGCAAACATGCGCTGGGTATGGCCTTACACAGTTGCAAGTGTTCTAATTCTTCATGACAAGTAAGGTGTAGGGGGCTCATACAATTTGCATTACAGTTTTTTTTAAAATTGCACAAAAGTCCTTTTCACGTGCAGTAAACTAATCAAAATTATTTTAATCTATGTCCGGGGCAAGTGATATTATTACACGGAGTAGAGCGGGTGACCGATCCAAGATGGTGGCCATGCGGCTCATCAGCGCCAGTAGGCCGTAGCGGTCAATGCCGTGTCTAATAATATATATGTCTATGGGCGATTGACAGGATTTCACAGATAGTGGCCTGGTGTGGATCTTGCCATCTAAGCCCGTCCCCATATGCTTATTGGTCCTAACTTTAGTCTGTGACCAATTGGTTTACATGCTTTAGGGCGGGGAGCTTGAGTCCGATTCACTGTAGGGAGGATTAGAGGTATTGTGATGGAATTCCAGTAAAATACAAGTTTAGCAGGCCAAGATTGCCACAAGGCATATGTAGGTACATGTGTTTGTAGTATCAGTTAGTTAGTTACACGTAGCTAAGATACTGTCATCACTGTACTGAGCATGTGCAGGAATGCAGGAACTACGCGTCCCTCTCCTTTGTTTCAGATGAGCCACGTGGTTAGACCGGATGGATGAGTTTAGACTCTATTCATTGATTAGGTTAAGGGTATGTGTGGGCGTAGCTAATTATGGGAGGAGCTACAGTGCTATATAAGGAATGTACTCTATGTATTCAGTGCTCAGATCTTTGCTGTTTTTGGTGACATAAGTCCTTCTGAGTCCCGGTCGGTGAATCGAATAAAGATCTCTTCCTTCCTGAAGAAACCTGTGTCCATCTCTCTGTGCTTGGCCTCCGTCAGTTTCCCGGTAACATCTTTGGTGCATTGGCCGGGAAGCTCATCGTTAACGGTGGCTAGGAAGCAGAGGCGTGAGACGGTCTATCTTTGCACACGTTCTCTACGGCTGCACCCCTGAACTTCTGCGTGGACCTCCCTTCGTCTTGGCGCCACTGGTCTGTTGTCCAGGAGATCATCGGCCTCTACGTAGTAAGTACTGGGGTGTCCCCGTCGATGAGTGTGAACTCACTAGGGGTATTGGATACCGATTGTGCGGTAGGCCCATAAGGGGTTTGAATTGGAATTGTGTATGGAATTGGCCCCCTCCAGGGAGGGAAGGAGCGAAGGCGCACCACTCATAATTAGACGCCCTGTAGTCAGCCCGTCTAATCTTGGTATGGAGTCAGGCTGGGTCTTGGTTGAATGTATATAGCCCAAGCCGGACACCGGTGTCTTGTCTAGACTAGCGTATCTAGGGTGTACATTTCGTTCGCTAGGTCGGAGGGACCGGGAGACTAAGCAGACTCTGGTGTTCATTATCGTTTGCTAGTTCTCAACCTATCTTGGCTAAGTGGGAAGGCGTGTAAATTTGGAAACCACTAGACTATTGATAGAGTAGATAGACTAAAAGGGTATTGTTGTAAATTCCGCCCTCTAGTTCGCTATATGTGGTGCATGGGCAGCGACGGCTAACCAAAACGGATGTAAATAGTTTTGGGTAGTCCCTCGAGGTACTGTCCAATAGATAAGTTGGGAAACTGTTAAAATTTATTATAGTAGAGTGTATATCTTGCTGGGTAGCGTGAGCTCTGCCGTCTAGCGAGAGTGTGAATAGTGTGTAACTGTATCATAGCGCACGGTACCATAACCATGTATTATAATCACTGATACTGTAAATAATCACTAATAACTGTCGTTTATGTTGAATGTTTAACACCATAACTACTATTAACTGACCTGTGACTTTAAAATTGTATTCTAACCAATGCTAACCGTACTATAACTACTGTTTGTAAAGACGATGTTACTAGGGTGTGTTATAGACGGGTAGACGGGTTGGATTCAAAGATCGTTGATCCCTTAGATTGTATGTTAAAGAATTTTAAAAAGGGATATAATGTATGTGATTTTGGGGTAAAGATGTCTCCAACATGTTTGACTACTTTATGTAGCAGGGAATGGTCTGCCTTAGTTGTTGCATGGCCTCCACGTGGTAGTCTTGATCCTAATCTAGTGCAGCGTGTACACGTAGCTGTATCTGGTAGGCCGGAACTTTACGACCAGTTTCCATATATTGATTGTTGGAAACAGGCCGTGGATGACTTGCCAAAATGGATCAGGGTGTGCCAAGAGGAGCAATGCCGCCTCCTGTTGGCCAGAACTCGTTTGTCCACCAAGGCCGTGATCACGCCCATTCTGGACATACATGGATTATTGGAGGCATACCGATTGTATACCCCCTTTAGTCCAGAGGCTCCTGAGAATTCCCGGATGGTTAACTATGCCTTTGTCAGCCAGGCTTACGGAGATATTAAAAGAAAATTGCAAAAGCTAGAAGGGTTTGTAGGGATGTCTATAACTCAACTAATGGAAATAGCAAATAAGGTTTATATGAATAGGGAGACAGAGACGAAGAAGAAAGAAGAGCGTAAGATGAGAAGGAAGGCAGATATGTTAGCGGTAGCTATCGCTGGTGTAGATAGAAGGGAAAAGGAAGTGTACAGGGGAACCGAGAAAAGCGAGAATAAGTGGAATAGGGAGCCTTTATGTAGGAACCAATGCGCATATTGTAGGGAAGAAGGGCATTGGAGGAGTGAGTGTCCATTGAGGGAACAACATGAGAGACATAGAACAAGGGGAGGATATAGTAATAACTATAGAGGTAGAGTGAGAGGAAGAGGAGGCCCTGGAGGAAATGGTGGGAATAGTAGAGGAAGCGTTCAAGGGGATAGGTATTACCCAGCAGCGCAGAGACCGCGAGAAAGAGAAGATAGGGACTTTGTGGGTTTGGCTGACCTGTCATAGAGGACTATTGATAACGACCGGGCTCCATGCCCCTTGGTCGAGCAGAGCCTATGGTCGATGTAGCAATAGGGGGAAAAAGGAGTTCTTTCATGATCGACACTGGTGCTGAACATTCTGTGGTAACCGACCTAGTTGCTCCTCCTTCAGGAAGAACTATCACTGTAATAGGAGCAACTGGGAAGAGTGCTGCTAAACCGGTTCTTAAAAGTCGACTCTGTACACTGGGTGGCCACGTAGTGAAACATCAGTTCCTTTACATGCCTGAATGTCCAGTCCAACTTCTAGGACGGGATTTGTTGTCGAAGTTACAAGCACAGATAACATTTCTGCCTAACGGAACGACATCCTTGAAGTTTAATGGACCCTCAGGTATAATGACACTATCAGTACCAAAGGAAGAAGAGTGGTGACTTTATACAGTGATGACAAGTCAAAACCCTAAGAGTGATGAATCCTTGTATAATATACCAGGAGTGTGGGCAGAAAATAACCCACCAGGACTTGCTCGCAATATCCCACCTATACGCATCGAACTAAAGCTTGGGGTTTATCCAGTAAGCCTGCGACAATACCATATACCTCAAAAGGCGAAGAAGAACATACAGTCTTATTTGGATAAGTTCATAAGGTATGGTATCCTAAAATTCTGTACTTCCCCCTGGAATACTCCATTGTTGCCTGTTCAGAAGCCTGGGTCAGATGAGTATCGTCCTGTGCAGGATTTGAGAGCAGTCAATGATGCGGTAGTAAGTATACATCCAGTTGTGCCCAATCCTTATAACCTGCTTGCCTTGATTCCGGGTGGGGCTACTTACTTTACAGTCTTGGACCTTAAAGATGCCTTCTTTTGCCTACGAATTGCTACAGAAAGCCAGTGTATCTTTGCATTCCAATGGGAAGATGCTGTAATGGGCTCGAAACGTCAGATGACCTGGACAAGATTGCCCCAAGGGTTTAAAAATTCACCTACCCTATTTGGATCAGCATTAAGTCAGGACTTATTAGATTTCAAGTCCATCCCAGGAGAATGTGTACTACTACAATACGTGGATGATTTGTTGATAGCGGCAGTTACTAAAGAGATATGCCAGCAAGCAACTTATGATTTACTGCACATTCTTTGGAAGGCAGGATACAAGGTGTCCAGGAAGAAAGCTCAGTTGTGTCAGCCAACTGTCAAGTATCTGGGATTCCATATCTCTGAAGGTCAAAGGATAATGGGGCCTGAAAGAAAAGAGGCTGTATGCCAAATACCAACACCTAAGAATAGAAGACAAGTGCAAGAATTCTTAGGGGCAGCAGGCTTCTGTAGGATATGGATTCCCAGTTATGCGATACTGGCGAAACCCCTCTATGCCGCTATTAAAGGCACGGAACATGATTCCTTCCTGTGGACCATCGAACAGCAGAAGGCATTTGAGGATGTTAAGAAGGCATTGATGAGCGCCCCCGCATTAGGTCTACCTGATCATACACATCCATTCTACTTATATGTACACGAGCAAAGAAGGATGGCTGTGGGAGTACTGACACAGTATCTGGGATCATGGCAACGACCTGTTGCGTATATGTCCAAACAACTGGATGCAGTAGCCAGTGGTCTTCCTCCTTGTCTAAGGGCCGTAGCTGCCGCCGCCCTGTTGGTAGCAGAAGCTGACAAGCTCACTCTGGGTCAGGAACTCTATGTGCGAGTCCCGCACGCAGTACAGACGTTGCTAGACTATAAAGGTAATCATTGGTTTAGCAATAGCCGCATGACTAAGTATCAAGCCATGTTATGCGAGAACCCGAGAGTGCATCTTGAGACTGTTAATACCTTGAACCCAGCTACCCTCTTGCCGCAACCTACTGAGAGTCGACATGATTGCCTGGAGGTAATGGATGAAGTGTTCTCAAGTAGACCGGACCTTCATGATTTTCCCATCCAGAACCCCGATGTTCAGTATTACACGGACGGCAGTAGTTACGTGAAAGAAGGGATTCACTATGCCGGATATGCAGTGACAACTATAGACAAGGTGATAGAAGCGCGGCCATTGTCAAAAGGAACATCAGCACAGAAGGCAGAATTAATCGCACTTACACGGGCTTTGCAATTGGCTGAAGGGTTGAAAGTAAATATCTACACAGACTCAAAGTACGCGTTTTTAACCACTCATGCCCATGGAGCTTTGTATAAAGAAAGAGGATTACTGACCTCAGAAGGAAAAGAAATCAAGTACGCAGCTGAGATATTACAACTATTGGAAGCTGTATGGGAGCCGAAGGAAGTTGGTATCATACATTGTCGAGCACATCTGAAAGGTGATGGTGATGTGGTGAAAGGAAATCGGATGGCAGATAGTGCAGCCAAGCGTGCCGCTGAATCCGGACAAAAAGAATATGTGGAGTATGTAGCAGCTCTTATACCGACCCCTGTGTCCCAGTGGACTCCAGTTTATACAGCTGAAGAAGTAGAGTGGTTAAAGACTGAAGCTGGGAAATATTTGGAGAATAATTGGCATCAGTTAGAAGATGGAAGAATAGTTATTCCAGTATCGCTAGCTGTAGAAATTGTCCAGAATTATCATAATGGGACACATTCTGGAAGAGATAGTATGGAAGAATCTCTTGGGAATCATTTCTACATACCAAGATTGTCCAACTTGACTCAAGCCATTGTTCGAAGATGCGTGTCATGTGCCAAGAACAATGCAAGGCAAGGTCCAGTGAAACCACCGGGAGTCCAGTACATGGGAGGGCTTCCTATGTCCGATCTCCAAATAGACTATGCGGTAATGCCCAAATCCGGCGGACATCGTTACCTACTAGTAGCTGTGTGTACCTACTCAGGATGGGTAGAGGCGTGTCCAACTCGTACAGAGAAAGCAGGAGAAGTTGTGTGATTTCTGTTGCGAGAAATAATACCCCGATATGGACTACCGTGTTCTATAGGATCAGATAATGGTCCAGCTTTTGTCCATCAGTGCCTACAACAACTGACTCATATGCTTGGTATTAAGTGGAAACTTCATACAGCATATAGGCCTCAGAGTTCTGGGAAAGTGGAAAGGATGAACAGGACCATTAAGACCCAGTTGGCAAAAATGTGTCAAGAAACCCAACTCAAGTGGAATGTTCTTTTGCCAATAGCTCTGTTGCGCATTCGTAGTACACCTACCAGAAAGTTAGGTCTATCACCCTTTGAAATTATGTATGGGCGTCCACCTCCCATACTTAGTAACTTAAGGGGGGACTTGAGTCAGTTGGGAGAAGGAATTACCCGGCGGCAGGTTGTAGAGTTGGGTAAAACTATGGAGGAGGTACAGAAATGGGTACAAGATAGGTTACCTGTAAATATTTATCCACCTGTCCATTCTTACCATCCAGGAGACCAAGTTTGGATAAAGGAGTGGAACAGTGTACCGTTGGGGCCAAAGTGGAGGGATCCTTATGCTGTTCTTTTGTCTACTCCAACAGCTATAAAGGTTTCAGAGGTGACTCCGTGGATTCATCACTCCAGGGTTAAACCAGCAGCAGGTTCTTGGCAAGCTACTCAAGATCCTGAGAATCCCTGCAAGATCCGGTTGAAGCGAGTGACCCAGTTAGATTAAAAGTGTTTTTTGCGAAGAGTATTGTTACAAGGGAACATCAACAAAGATCTACAAGTAGGTGTTTTGACGGCCACAATAAAGCCTGACCACCTACCAACGTTTAAGCCAGAGGAATCCTCTGTGAGGATCAGAAGGACTCCATTCCCTGCAGCCCTCACACGCCTGGAAGCTGAGGTGCCGTCGCACGGTCGAAGAATTAGGAAGAAGATGTCAGGAGTAATGTGTTTGATGATGTATATATGTGTGTTTTTAATTATTCAGGAAGGTAGAGGTACCGACACACCAGGCTGCGAGGTTTGTATTAAGACTACGAAAACAGGCAATCGTATTTCCCAGACCCTTATTTGGCATTCGCAATATGAGTGCACAGGACATGTATCAAAGTGTAGATACCTAGGTACAGATTATAGTGTATGCCATATAGGAGCAGGAGAACCTAGGTGTTTTAATCCTGAGTATCAGCCCCGTACAATTTGGTTGACTATTCGGAATGAGAACGCACAGGGGAACCTGATAAATAAGACTGTACTAGAAAGCGTACATTCTCCAGGTGTTTTGCTATTTGATGCATGTAAGGCGATATCAGGTAGTAGGAAGCCATGGAATGTATGTGGTGGTCTTAAATGGGAAAGAACGTATGGGTCTAATGATAAGTATATTTGTCCTAGTAATAAGCATAAGTATATAGATCCAAACTGCCTAAATAAAGACTACAATTATTGTCCGTATTGGTCCTGTGTGGGATGGGCAACCTGGGGACAGACAGTAGATAAGGATATGATTATCACTAGATTGCCTACCAAGCCATATTGTAAGTCTATGGAGTGTAACCCAGTCCATATACTTATCAAGGACCCAGAGCTATTTATAGATAAGTTTGGGAATCTATTTGGGTTCCAAATATATGGAACAGGTTTGGATCCTGGGATGATATTATACATAGGAATAGAGACAGATACAGTGGCCCCCCAGACTCATCAGGTTTTCCATTCTTTTTATGAGGAGATGAGTGTGGAAGATAAGGTTCCCCATAATGCCAAAAACTTATTCATAGACCTAGCTGAGAGCATTGCTGGTAGTCTTAATGTAACCAACTGCTATGTGTGTGGAGGTACTAATATGGGAGACCAATGGCCTTGGGAAGCAAAGGAGGTAATGTATTCTGGTTCTGAGACAGTTGAACAACTAATATCTTCTCAATCTGATTATCAAGTGAGTGTTAGAGGTAAATCTGAGTGGCGATTAAAGACCTCCATTATAGGTTATGTTTGTATAGCAAGGAAAGGAATAATGTTTAATACATCTGTAGGAGAATTGACTTGTTTAGGGCAGAAAGCCTATAATGACGATACAAAGGATACTATTTGGTGGTCAGCTTCAAATGTCTCAGAACCGTCTAATCCGTTTGCAAATTATACCAATTTAAAGGATGTATGGTTTGACCTATCTGCTACATCTAGTTGGAAAGCCCCAGCAAATTTGTACTGGATTTGTGGTAAGAAAGCATATTCGGAGTTACCACAGGACTGGGAAGGGGCATGTGTATTGGGTATGCTCAAACCATCCTTCTTCTTGTTGCCAATTGAAACAGGAGAAACTTTGGGAGTTAAAGTATATGATGTAAATCATAGGAAGATGAGTGGCCTCCCCAGCGTATTATAGATTATTATGGGCCAGCTACGTGGGCAGAGGATGGTACTTATGGATACAGAACCCCAATATATATGCTTAATCGTATTATAAGATTGCAAGCAGTAGTTGAGATAGTTACCAATGAAACATCACAAGCGCTCAATCTCCTAGCGAAGCATAACACTAGGATGAGGACAGCCATCTACCAGAATAGATTAGTTTTGGATTACCTATTGGCAGTAGAGGGAGGTGTATGTGGGAAGTTTAATCTAAGCAATTGTTGTCTTCAAATAGATGATGAAGGGCAAGCAATAGCTGAGCTTACTAGCCATATGGTTAAGCTAGCACATGTACCTACTCAGGTATGGAAAGGGTATAATCCGAGTAGTTGGTTTGGTAGTTGGTATGAGCAGTTTGGAGGAATCAAGGCATTGGTAGGTGGAGTCATACTGATTTTGATGTTGTGTCTCCTTCTGCCATGTCTGATTCCTTTGGTAATTAGGTCTATGCAGAGCATTATAGAAAGTATAGCAGAAAGAAAGGCCGCAGCACAGGTAATGGCTGTTTGCAGGTATGAAGCTCTAGATCAAGGAGAATACATGCAGGAAGAGGAATGTTGAGGGGTTCGTATCTTTAGAGGATCGCAAAGTCTAGTCTGGTTTATGGCAACTTGAGGTGTAAGCAAACTATGATTGGTGATGCATCTGGAATTATTTTAAATCAGAAGCATCAAAGGGGGGAATGTGATGGAATTCCAGTAAAATACAAGTTTAGCAGGCCAAGATTGCCACAAGGCATATGTAGGTACATGTGTTTGTAGTATCAGTTAGTTAGTTACACGTAGCTAAGATACTGTCATCACTGTACTGAGCATGTGCAGGAATGCAGGAACTGGAATTACGCGTCCCTCTCCTTTGTTTCAGATGAGCCACGTGGTTAGACCGGATGGATGAGTTTAGACTCTATTCATTGATTAGGTTAAGGGTATGTGTGGGCGTAGCTAATTATGGGAAGAGCTACAGTGCTATATAAGGAATGTACTCTATGTATTCAGTACTCAGATCTTTGCTGTTTTTGGTGACATAAGTCCCTCTGAGTCCCGGTCGGTGAATCGAATAAAGATCTCTTCCTTCCTGAAGAAACCTGTGTCCATCTCTCTGTGCTTGGCCTCCGTCAGTTTCCCGGTAACAGTATAAGAGGTGTTATACTGCGACTTTGCCTTGTCTGGTTAATGAACCCAGTGATAAGCACACCTCTTCTTTATTTTATCCATTTATCCACTCAGGGAGACTCCAAAGTTTGAGTCCGCCCTCTTTGAGTTGATTGACACATACTCTTAACCAATAACCGTCTGTCTATACGGAAGGCGTGGCCTATCTGTGGCCACATGTTTGATGTGATTGGCTTCCTAATTAAAGATGAGCCCATTATTGGGTTAGACACACATGGCTAATTAGTAGTATTTAACTCACCTAGATGACTTTGCTCATTCTGCCCCTGACGACGGCTTATGTACACGCCAAAGCGTGCATCGAGCGTTTCTTTAACTTCACATTATTGGTCTTTGGTTTAGGTAGACACTAGTCTTGTGCGGTGCCGAGGTAATCAGGGACAGTAGTTAGCTTATGTACTTTATGCTTGTTTGCTGCTTTTATTAAAAAATGTTCTAGACTCCAGTGGTTATGGTAGATAGAGAATTTAGTCCATGTGCCCCCCCCTTTTTTTCTCTTTTTTCCGTACCTAGGCTTTGGTTCTAACTTATGCATATATGAGGGAAGCATGGATGTTTTGATTCCCATTCTCCTTACCTGTATTTAGGTTATTTCTATAGGGAATTGCTCTCTCTCGATAATCCAGCTCTGTCCTGTACCTAATTGTTTGGTGGATACCATCTACCTCCCTATCTTTTCCTGTACCTTTACCTCTACTCTCACCTTTTTCGGCCAGACCCCAGAGACGTCACACTTGGGGTGGGTTTCTGGTTTTCTTTTTGCTCTGAGTAATTATGATCTAGTTATTAATAAAGGTTAGTTTTTTCTCTTTTAGATTGTGAAGTCTGAGCTCACCATTCCACTACCCGCCCTCTGATCTCAGTGGATGAGTAGTTGTGTTATGGACGTAAATTAGAATTAGTAAAATGTCTATTTACTCATACATACTCATATTCAATATTTACTCAAAATGGCTACTAGAGGCAACCCCACCCATCGACTAACTACCTCGTGTAACAAGATGGCGCTGGAATCCGGAGTAAAATCCCGTGATGACAGTGACATCACACCTTGAAAGACGTGCTTTAGATAAAACAGTTAAAGGACCACTATAGTGCCAGGAAAACATACTCGTTTTTCTGGCACTATAGTACCCTGAGGGTGCCCCCACCCTCAGTGTCCCTTTCCCATGGCGCTGAGAGGGGAGGAAGGAGTTAATCCCTTACCTTTTTTCCAGCACTGTGCTCCCTCAGCAATGGGACTCTCCTCCCTCTTCTGACATCCCTGGCTGAATGCACATGCGCGGCAAGACCGGCACGCGCATTCAGCCAGTCTCTTAGGAAAGCATTCTCAATGCTTTCCTATGAACGCTGGCGTCTTCTCACTGTGAAAATCACAATGAGAAGTGCGGAAGCGCCTCTAGCGTCTGTCAATGAGACAGCCACTAGAGGTTGGATTAACCCATATGTTTACAGCAAAAAGGGTTGAACCTAGCTGGACCTGGGACCCAGACAACTTCATTAAGTTGAAGTGGTCTGGGTGCCTATAGTGGTCCTTTAACACCTTACCAATTATTGATGTATGTTCTCTGTTATCTATAATTTTGCATATGATGTATTCTTGCTTTATAAGGGGCATATCGGCCAGATACTTGTGTCCAGTGTGAAATTACTTCAGGAGCGGGCACGCATTAAATATAAATAATTTGGTTAGGGGCAGATATTCAAATCATCAAACACTTGGTTTGGTCCACAACAGTTGGGATTCTGTTATTCTTTTGTACATAGAAGTGCAGCAGACAGACAGTGTGCCAGGAAATTAATATAAATAAAGAGAAGGGGGTTGTATAATCAATAAAATACAGGAAACATACGGAAAGGAAAAATTTAAGAAAAAAAGAAAACATGACAGTGCCGGTTTGACCAAAGAGCTATTTTCATATCTCTGCACTGGTGCTCTCTGCCTCTTCCAAACAACAGACATTACATCACACATTATTGTTATTTCCATTCACACCCATTTTTGGTGCCCAGCTTTCTGCTTTTAGCTGGGGGAAATGTCTTCTCAAATCATAATCCTTCCCTTCTACATTTTTATCCGTGTTTAAATGGACACTATAGTCACCAGAACAACTACAGCCTATTGTATTTGTTCTGGTGAGTAGAATCATTCTATACAGGCCTTTCACCGTAAACACTGTCTTTTCAGAGAAAAGGTAGTGTTTACATTACAGCCTAGTGATAACCAGTGGCGGATCTGGGGGGGGGCAACGGGGCAATTTTTGTTAAAGGACCACTATAGTGTTTTCCTGGCACTATAGTGGTCCTTTAACATTATGGAAGCTGCAAATTGTGTGTGTGCCAGTGTGTATGTTTAGGTATGTGTACATCTGTGTGTATCTGTGAGTGTCAGTGTGTATCTGTGAGTATGTGTGTGCATCTGGGTGTGTCAGTGTGTATCTGTGAGTGTCACTGTGTATCTGTGTATGTCAGTGTGTATGTGTGTGTATCTGTGTATCTGCGAGTATGTGTGTGCATCTGGGTGTGTCAGTGTGTATCTGTGAGTGTCAGTGTGTATCTGTGTATCTGTGAGTGTCAGTGTGTATGTGTGTGTATCTGTGAGTGTCAGTGTGTATCTGTGAGTGTCAGTGTGTATGTGTATGTATCTGTAAGATTACATTTCTTCATAGATTTTGGTTGTGATAAGGTGGTCTTGAACCATTTCCATTGTCGGCATAGTGATTGTTTTCCAGAAAGATGCAATAGCTTTCTTAGCAACAAACAAAATATGTACTATCATAGTTTTAGCTAGGCCCTGTATCATGTCTGGGGACATTTCAAGTAAATAAACTTTAGGAAGAAGTTGGAGCCCCATTCTTGTTTCGGATGCTTTGGTGTCTTTGTTGTAAGCGGGGGCAACTCCAAAAATATGGATTAGGGCATCATCTTCCTTCAGACATTGCCAGCAAGTTGGGAAAGAGAGAACATGTGGGCAAGCTTCTGTGGAAGAGTTTTTCAGGGATTCCCAAAGATCTAAAAATCTGATGCTCCATGTATATGTGATATTGTATTCTTCCAGGCTTCTATGATGAAATTCTTGTGTAGTTTTTTTCTCAAAATTTATCATATAGGGAAATTTGAGATATTTCACTTGGTGAACTTCGCATGAGATACGCTAAGTTAGGTTTAGGTGCTCTGTGAATAGACAGAGAGTGAGCAGCGGAGCACAATGCAACAGCGATAGGTTACGGACTAAATAGGGTGCTTTAGTTGACCAGATCTTCAGTGAGTGTTTTGTGGTGGTCAGGGCTTGAGGGAGAATGGTTCCAGACGGGAGTTTTCTATATTGAGCCAAAGCGATATGAAGGCACTTGTGCTCAGCGAGAAAAGTTGAGCGAGTGTGTAGCATTGTAGTAGTTGTTTCTAATGTTGGGGATACCTAATTCTCCCGTTGACTGCATGTTTTACTGTAGATTCAAGGGAGGCATTTTTTCCATCTGTATGAGGATAAGACAGTTTGAAAGTCCTTCAACACTTTATCAGGAATTTGGATGGGCAACATGCAGAAAAGGTATAGAATTGTAGGCAATATAGACATTTTTCGCTGAGTTCATCCTGGCCATCCATGAAAGCTTGTTTTTGTCCCTTGCTTCAACTATTGTCTTGGTCTTCTGCAATAGAATTTGTTTTGAATTTGCAAATCTCCCACATAGGTATGTTTTAAAGTCTATTCTCCAATCGAACTGGTAATTCTCTTTTAGTAGCTGAACTTGAGTGCTTCGAATTCCAATAGGGAAGGCTTGTGTTTTCTCCACATTGTTTCAGTAATACAAAACTGCACTGTATCTTGTAAGTTTCTTGATAAGGAACAGCAGGGATATTAAAGGGTTAGTAAGGCAATGCAGGATGTCATTCTCAAACAAGGACATATTTTTTCACTAATAGGTTCTAGGTTTAATGGAGAAAGTGGGCATCCTTGGCGAGTTCCATTCAAAATGGAAAAGGTGTTAGATAGAAAACTTCAATTCATAATTCTTGCGGAGGAGGCTATATAAAAGGCTTTCAAAAATGCCAGAGACATTCCAATTTCTATAGGACAGCAGATTAAGGTGATCAAAAGCCTTTTCTGCATCTAAACTAGGAGAAAGCAGGCTACACTTGAATTAGGCATGTTCTATCATATTGAATATGGATCTGGTTTTGACTGTGGCATGTCTTGCAGGGACAAAGCTAGACTGATCCTTACATACTAATTCCAGTAGGATTTTATTGAGTCTAGTGGCTATGACATTCGCATACAGTTTTGTTTTAAATATGTTTATTAAAGTCGCAAAGAAGCGTAGGCAGACTTTTTTTTGAATTGCTAAAAATAACATTTGGTTGCCTGCGCAGAGGCATATAAATCAGATGAGACGAGAATAAAGCAAAGTAAATTGGATGTACACAGGCTTTGCAAGATTTGGTATAACAAGGGCATTTAACAGGTATAATAACGCATTATGTAGGTTGTTTAGTCATCTGAGCCATTCCTATGTCTAACTTTGCGTGCGATGGCGCTTTCCGCATAGGTAGCCTTATACGTGGTTAAAAAAAAAAACATGCAGTTAAGTAGATTAAGTATACATTAAGTTTGCGAGATTTGTTTTGGCTTTGTATAAAATCTAAAAAAAAACTATAGCATTAGGACTGACAAAAGGGAAGCTCAGTTAAGATTCAAAAGTTGTGCACGTTATATGCGGGTGCTAAGTATGAAATGGTCAATACGTGCAGTGCTTGCTTAGATGCGTGGCTAAATGTTCAGGTCTGTGTGCGTTAAGCGGGCTCTTCTTGAGCCAGGTGCATGCGCTAGGTGTCTTGAACGGAGCTTATCTCCTGAGCACTGTGAAAGCGAGCGTCGGGTGGCTGCCTGTCTCCCGGTGAGGCGATATATAGCAATATGGCGTGTGTTGTGGTAGAGGGTGTTGTATTTTGCAATTTAATAAGGTTTGTCAGCTGAAGACAGCAGGACCACGTGGGGTGTCGTTCTGTAGCGTCCCTACCAAAACTATATTCGGGTCCCATTGCTACCTCAAGTACACACGTTTTTATACGATATGTTAGTCAGGCATCGTGAAGCAGGGGTTTAGGCATAGCTAGCAGCCCTATTACTGCGTCTAATGTGTTGTGAACTAGGCATGCGGTAAGGATGGATGTATACAGAACAAAGCAAAAATAAATTAACGGTAATAACTGTAACAGTAAAGGAGCCTGGCTGGTCTTAGTATCTGTCCGATGAGGGCCTCCCGTGGCACGGCCGCAGTGCATCTCCTGGGATGCCGAGTCTCCGTCCGTCCTCCCTGGAGCGACCCCAGCCCATCACATGGGTCCCCCGCGGTGCTGTGGGCACTCGGTGGCAGAGACAGTCCACTTGACCCCCACACCTAGAGTCCGCGGGCCTCCTGCTCCCTGCACCTCCCCAACACCGCCCAGGGAAGCGAGTGTCCCAATGTCTCTCCGGGCGCCGGCCACATACTTGGAGCCGGTGCCCGCCGCCCCCGGCCACCGGTCCGCCGGGGGGGCCACGCAGACCAGCCCCACAGGGCTCCCAGCATCAGGGACAAGGCTCTCCGGGGACCTCCCAGACCCAGATGCCTGGGCACTCACTTTTTCTGACGGGCTGGCAGTCATCACGAGGGATCCATCTGGTGCTCAGCAATGCCAAAGTCCGTATCGGCCGTTTGGATCAGCTCGCCATGGTTGGTATTCTTCATGGTTACTACAGCTCTGAACAGTCACTGGTGGCTTGAGGGAGAACATACACAGGCAGTGGGGTGCAGCTGCATTAGGTCTCCAACCTCTGTAATAGTGCAGGTCTCCTTTATCTCTGCCTGATTGCCTCCTCAGGTGAGTGTACCTTCCCCACCGTGGCAGTGTCCACATCTGCCGGCTGGCCGTCCTCCACACAGCCGTTGCTCTGCTCCACACCCTTCCTAGGTGCTTCCTCTTGAAGGCGGATGGCTTCCACCTTATCAGCTCCCACATCTGCTGGCTGGCTGTGCTGTATGCAGGCTTTGCCAGTATAGGCGTCCAGCACGTTACCGCAGCGGGGGCTCCCGTCACGGCACGAGCGGTCGCCATGTGGCTGGGATAACCCCCACCGGCCGGGGGGGGGACAGGGCCGTGCCCCGGGCCGGGAGTTGCTCTTTGTCGGAGTACTCCTCTCGTGGCTTCTTCTGCCCGGGTGCCTCGGCTCAGCGCTTCCCCGCGGATGCGCATGCGGTCGGATTCTCAGCCGTTGGTAGGCCGGGGATGGCCGCCTCCACTCACCCGACAGGCGAGGAGTTTCATGCGGGTAGCGGGTAAAAGCTTAGGTCATTCTCCGTGCACTGGTGTCGGAGGATCCGTCTTTTAAGCGGTCAGGAACAGTATTTTGTGCTGTTATCACGAGCTCACAGCCGGAGCTCAAGCTAATGGCCTCCAGTCGGCCCGGCGGCCCGGCCCGGCCCCGCCCCCCGCATACAGTTTTGTATCTCAGTTAAGTAAAGATAGAGGGCAAAAATTGGTGCACGTTTTGCCAGGTATATGTAGGATCACACTTGTTGTAGTTAGCATCTCAGGGGGGATATTTCCAAAGGGCATAATTTAATTAAATAAGTCTATTAAATCGGGCCCTAGTAGGTCAAAGAACATGCAATAGTAACAGTTAGTAAGAGGGAGGGCTTTAATAACCTTCGGTACTTTCTGCTTTGCAATAGGGGACCCAGGTCTCTGTTCTGTTAAACTGAGACTTGAGACAGAGTGATTTCCTCCAAATATTCAAAGGTTTCTTGGGCTGATGGTTAAGGAGCAGTAATGTCAGCATGTAAGTTATTCAATGAGTGGTAGTAAGAGGCTAGTTCATTTACATTGTGAGGGATTTGTTAGTTTTACTCCATCATCAGTACACAAGAATGGAACTTTTTTGTTGTTGAAAGTTTTATGTTTCAGTTTATTGATGAGTAACTTACCCGCTTTGGTGCCCTGTGAGTAAAATGGATGGGCCAGTCTGCGTAGATGACGGCCCGTTGCTTATATATTGTCTCTTTGAGCTTCTGTTTTGTTTGACAGATGAGTTGTAGAAGTTGAGCTGAGGGCTGGGCTTTATGTTTCTTCTTTAGGTTCTTTAATGATGCCGATAGTTGCTCATAATTCTTGGTGAGACCTTTTTCTTCCTGGCTCTTTGCTGGATAAAGATTCCACAGATGGTTGGTTTGTGTGCTAGTCATATTATTTCAGCAGTTGATTCGTGATTGGAGTTAGCTTGAAAAAAGTCTGATATCACTGTTGTTACTTTTTGAGTAATTTGAGGGTCTTCCATTGGGTCCTCATTGAGTCGCCACTTTCCAGGTCCCCTGTTGGGGTGAGAAATTGCTATAGAGATGGAGACTGGGCCATGATCGGACCAGTTAATGGTTTCTATTGTGGCTTTTGTAATCATTGGTAAGATCTTCCTGGTAAAATATTTTATAAATAAAATAAATAAATTTAACCATCTACACAGATCCTCGATTATTTTTTGAGCACAGCAGAATGGAATGTATAATCTTCCTTGAATGGGTTCAGCACCTTCCAGGCATCATGGAGATTGTACTTCACACAGGACAAGTTTGTTGATCCGCACTCATAGGGAATTCCCAAAAATACATCAGGAAGAAAATTATAGAAACAAAATGCACATTTATTGAAGTAAAAAATAAGATACATATGGCAAGATACTAGAAAAACAATACTCATGTATGCTGTATTGGTCCAAGCATGCGAAAAGCATGTGAAAAATGAAAAAAAAAGTTGTGCGTAAACAAAGTATAAAAAGTCCAAAACCAGAGCATAGGACCACCCACAGCTGCTGTAGAGGGGGGAGACCACCAAAGAAGCCCACCCTTAAGAAAGATTAGAGAAGCCCTGGATGCATTTTGCAACACTCCGGGTGCTTTCTCAACATGAAGTATCATTTGATTACTGGGGATTCCAGCACGAGAAGGTTACCCTGTTATTGCACCTATTGAACTATAAATATGATGAAAACCAGTATATCCATGCTTATTTAATTTTGGAGTTGAGGCTACATGTTTGTTGTGAGTGAGGGATTTTCTTCACTTACTTTTCTGCCTTTTTATCATGGAGATTGTGTTGTAGGACTAGGCAGTGTAAACCAGAGCTCAGTTTCTGTTCTTGTATTAGGGAAGGCAGTTACAATCTCAGTTAAAATCTTTGCATATTACAACTTTACCCTCTTTCAGGGACTCTATTTTATCAAAGAACTTCTCCAAGAAGCTAACTTAGAAACATAGAAACATAGAATGTGACGGCAGATAAGAAGCATTCTGCCCATCTAGTCTGCCCAATTTTCTAAATACTTTCATTAGTCCCTAGTCTTATCTTATAGTTAGGATAGCCTTATGCCTATCCCACGCATGCTTAAACTCCTTTACTGTGTTAACCTCTACCACTTCAGCTGGAAGGCTATTCCATGCATCCACTACCCTCTCAGTAAAGTAATACTTCCTGATATTATTTTTAAACCTTTGTCCCTCTAATTTAAGACTATGTCCTCTTGTTGTGGTAGTTTTTCTTATTTTAAATATAGTCTCCTCCTTTACTGTGTTGATTCCCTTTATATATTTAAATGTTTCTATCATATCCCCCCTGTCTCGTCTTTCCTCCAAGCTATACATGTTAAGATCCTTTAACCTTTCCTGGTAAGTTTTATCCCGCAATCCATGAACCAGTTTAGTAGCCCTTCTCTGAACCCTCTCTAAGGTATCAATATCCTTCTGAAGATACGGTCTCCAGTACTGTGTACAATACTCCAAGTGAGGTCTCACCAGTGTTCTGTACAATGGCATGAGCACTTCCCTCTTTCTACTGCTAATACCTCTCCCTATACAACCAAGCATTCTGCTAGCATTTCCTGCTGCTCTATTACATTATCTGCCTGCCTTTAAGTCATCAGAAATAATCACCCCTAAATCCCTTTCCTCATATGTTGAGGTTAGGACTCTATCAAATATTCTGTACTCTGCCCTTGGGTTTTTACGTCCAAGATGCATTATCTTGCACTTATCCACATTAAATGTCAGTTGCCACAATTCTGACCATTTTTCTAGTTTACCTAAATCATTTGCCATTTGGCTTATCCCTCCTGGAACATCAACCCTGTTACATATCTTAGTATCATCAGCAAAAAGATATACCTTACCATCAAGACCTTCTGCAATATCACTAATAAAAATATTAAAGAGAATGGGTTCAAGTACAGATCCCTGAGGTACCCCACTGGTGACAAGTCCAAGCTTCGAATATATTCCATTAACAATAACCCTCTGTTGCCTGTCACTCAGCCACTGCCTTACCCATTCAACAATATTGGAATCCAAACTTAAAGATTGCAGTTTATTGATAAGCCTTCTATGTGCAACAGTGTTTATATCAACAACAAACATGAATAATACATTCAACATATAAGTGACACTTTAGAATAGTGGGTAGGTTGAGAATTATCAGTATAGACTATCTGGCTCTAAGCCCTGAAGTGTGCGGGAGCTCATTACTATATGTGGTTAGAACATGAAGTAACGAAGGCCATATGAAAGCTAAGAAGCCTTTGTGATCAGCCCATATTGGGAGCTAAAACGTGACGCCACATGAACGTTCATGTCACTAGTGACGTCATTGTTGGCGGTGTTAATAATTAGCGCCGCCTTGCAGCAGCCGGCGTCCTTCCTAACACTGGACCCGGTTGCTGAATTTCAAACTGCACGGAGGGAGAGGTTTTGGAGGTAAGGTGAGTAACCTCTCCCTCCTTTAGCGTGAATGCACCGATCAGATGCGGTCACATTGTGGTGCCGATCGGTCAATGCGATAGTGTGACTGCACTGATCTGGTGCGGTCACACGGAGGTGCCGATCAGGCACCGTGACAGATGTAAAACATGGCCAGCATAGTCGGCCTTGCGACACTGGGGTATTCTCCACAATAGGTCCATAGTCACTATTACATGTGTGAAGCACTTTCACGCCATCTTCTGGTGAGGTGATTACCCTGCTGATCCATTTCTTATGAGTTTGGGTGGGAAGCCCCATCTTTAAGCTATATTATGAGACTGTAATAGGCTGGTAACTCACACACACACACTCACACACACTGCACCCCTGACACTCAAAGCACCCTCACACACACTGCACCCTCACTCACACACAGCAGCCTCACACAAACACAGCACCCTCACTCGCACACACTGCACCCCTCACACACACACAGCACCATCACACACACACAGCACCCTCACTAACACACGCATACAGCTCATAGCACACTTACTCACACACACAGCACCCCTGACACTCAAAGCACCCGCACACAAAGTGCACCCCTCACTTACCCACACAGCACCCTCACACACACATACTGCACCCGTTGCATAAACAGTGCACCCTCTCATAAACAGTGCACTCCTCTCATACACACCGCACCCCACACACACACACAGCACCCCCCTAACACACTGCACCACACACACACACACAATACGTTCAAACATATCTGTATATATACTTAAGAACCATTCACACACATACTGCACTCCTAAACACATTCCATTCCAGACACACACTAGATCCCTTACCAAACTCTGGATCATCTACACGCATACACACACTAGATCCCTATATACGCTCTGAATCCTCTACACACACACTTACTAGATCTCCTATACACACACTCTGGGTCCTTCAAACATACACGAGATCCTCTACATACCCACACACACTGCACCACCTACACACACTACATTCCTGAAATACATACTCTGGATCCCCTAGTCACACACTAGATTCCTTGTAAGCAAACACATACTACATTCCCTAAAAACACACTCTATACAATCCCTACACACACTACATCACCTATACACACACACACTACAGCCCGTATGCACACACTGGCTACATCCCCTATACACACTATATCCCCTATAAACACTCTCTCTGCATTACCTAGACACACTTTCATTACATTACACCACAAACACAACACAACTAAAACCAACTTATTTACACAATACCACACCACAATCAGCTCACTCTACACACATGCAATCCCACAAGCAGGTCTAAACACATGCACAATACTCTTTCCTGGCATTTTTGTCTTCTGGTATCCCATCTATGGAGACACCAGAGGCAAGTTGCAAGCAAACACATTGCAAGCATGTTAATAAAAATGCTTGCGCTGTGCAGAACAAATACTGGGCCTTTTCCTCATGCTAGAGCTCTTCAGCAGCGATATTGTCCCTACCAGGTATGTGTATGCAAACCAAGTGAAAATTGTGTGTTGCTGCCAGCCAGGTGAGTCTCCTCATGAGCCTTATAATGACTAGGGAAGAAGATCTGCCTTTGTTTATGATCTCGCTCGTGGCTTCGTTGTCTGAGAGGCATTTAACTGCTTTTCCCTTCCACAATGAGCCCCAAGTGTGTGCTGCTGCTACTATCGGATAAAGTTTGAATAGCGAGGATGTAGTGTTAAAGGTGGAGCCATTGGTTTTGATATATGGCTGCGAACCCTGTGTGGACTGCTGTATCGGTGCATATGACCGGGGATTTCTCGTCCAGAGGGGGTATGAACATTGACCTCCCGCTCCAGGAGGAGAGAAACCTACCCCACATAAGCAAGTCTGCCTTGGCGTTATTGTTGATTAGAATGGGCGTATTGTCGTAAGGGGCCTCCATTAGGAGGTGTAGTAAGCGTGAAATGAATGCGCGGCCCTGTGGTATTATGCGGATCGCGACGTTCAAGGAGCCGAGAACAGATTGCAGCTCTTTGCGGGAGCAATTGTTATTGTGTGTGAACCATGTGATTTCGTTTATGATGCGGTTAACTTTCTCTTCTGGTAGGCTAGCTATCGTGGATGTGGAATCAAGATGGATACCTAAAAAGGTTAGGGCTGTAGAAGGACTTATAGTTTTGTCCCTTGATAGGGGGATGTAACGGAGCTCACCGTACTCCGACTGAGTACAGTGACTTATTATAACACAATGGCATATTTTTAGAGGGGTGGGGTAGACAATATTTAACAGAAAATATTTCACGTGGCTGCAGAATTAGCAATATGCAAATCTACCCGAATGTGCAAATGAACCAGTCTTGCTATTCAGGTAGTGCATATTGCTGTTGCTGCCAACAGAGGGCACTAGACAAGCTCCATAGCCAAATCCACCTAGTTGGTAGCAAACCTCAGCAGTACAGGAGAGCAAGCAATACATTTCACAGTACACACACACACACTATAAACAATTACATTACACACACCCTGCACCTATAATGGGTACAGGGTGACTAAAGCATAAGAGAAATAAAGCAACCTACATAAATAGTCTGTCTGAAGGTAGAATAGGGGATTTAAAGCGAAATACATCAAAGAGTCATAGTCACAGGGGAGGAGGCTGGCAAGCAGGCCTCTCCAGGACCAAGTGGCGAAGGGCACTTCGTCACACGGGACTCCTAGTATGGAGAAAAATGCAGCAGTTTCGTCAATGCTGTGGGGAATAAAATTAGGTTCCTCAACTGTGAGGAAGTCATCCAGGTAGTCTATTACTACCGGGCAGCCACACATGTTTAGTAGGAGCCAGCACAGTGTTTTGGCGAATTTGTCGAATAGTTTGGGACTGCTTTTGGCCCCAAACATCAGACGTGTTGCGAAGTAGCGCCACAGAGACGGATGTATAGGTAGCAACTTGAAAGCGTTAGCGATGTCGGTTTTTCCTAACCAGGCGCTGTAACCTGCTTTCAAAATTGCCTCTATAGCATTGTCCACTGTGGCATACTGCAGTGAAAACTTGCTGGATGGTATTAGAGAATTAATGCTAGGAACCACGGACGAATGAGGTGCAGACAAGTCAATGATCATGCGTTTTTTATTGTTAAATTTCCCGGTTGCAATGCCAATTGGGTTAGTTCTGAAACTGGCATAGGGGGGTTGTGCGAAGGGGCCTATCATAAACCTGTGGTTGATTTCTGCTGTGAGCAGTGCGTCGGTGGTGTCGGGGTCTAAGATGGCTGATTGAAGATTCCTGCATTCTAGCGTGCTCCCCGGGAGTGCCACTAGCCCGGTGTGGAATCCTTCGGTGAATCCCGTGGTGAGGAACTCGATCAAGTGAGGGGAGGGGTGGTTAGCGAGATAATAGGTGAGATTGCTAATATTAACTTTGGTGAGTCATTGTCTCGGGAAAAGCCGGTTAGGGGCACATGGACTTTGCGTGTGCCCTAAAGCAGAGGGAACAGACATGCAACAAACGACAAGCGCTGAAGCTACAACCTCCTACTTTGAAGTTGTTGCATATCTGTGCTTTGCCTAAAAAAATAATGGGTCTGCCCAGTTTGTCTTTTAGTACCCTGTCTGATTTGTTGGGGGTGGCCTCTGCGTGGCTAGTGGAGGCTCAGTTCGGAGGGGCACAAATTGGTGGAATGTGCGGTTGATGCACAAATGGCACGAGACGGAGGCTTGAGGCCAGCGAAGTGGCAGTAGAATAGTTCCGTATCTAGTTGGCTCCAGTCTGAGCGTATGTTAAACTAAACCAGTGCTGCCGCCGCCTTCTACAAAAATTACCTATGATAATCATAGAAGGAATAGCCTCCGTACTTGTTACATAGGTCGACCAATTTGTGGAGGTAAAGATCCAGCTCCTCTCTGCGTTGTGGGAAGACAGAACATATGACGTCCCTGTATAGGCCAAATGCTATCACAAAGTCATGGATGGATAGCTTCTTGTTGAGTCTGGGATCCCTAGCCTTGAGTACAACCGATAACTCCCCATAGCAGTAAGCCTTGTTTTCTACCAAGTCTTGGAATGCTATGAGGAGAGATACCAGGTTGACGTCTTTCCCTTCTAAAATGTCTTTCTTAATAGCCTGGGGTACTAAGTGGGCTGGAGTGATGATATGTGAGCTGCCTGTGTGCTGGTGCCTGGTCTTGGGGTGTCGGGGTTGGCATTCAGGAGGCGGTATAGTTCTGCTTTACGAGCCATGGCCGGTTATGGTATGCCTCGTCTCCTGAGTTCTGCTGCAATCTTGGGTATGGTCCAAGAACGTAGAGACCCTGGACTGGGGTACTTGGTCTGGTTGGGCTGGAGATTCTGGCTGGGGTGCTGGGTAGGGAGACATCCTCAGCTACATCCGAAGCGTGTGACATTCTATAACACGAGTAAGCACATGAGTTAGGAGTAATCGATTGTTTAGGAGGAAGGGTGCTATTGGGCGAGTTAGGTTCCTTCCGGTAGGGAGTGATCTCCTAGTTACGGTGGTGTGAATTAGGGTGCTCTAAAGTGTCCATGGTACGTTTTACTCATGATGCCGGTGGGCGGAGCGGTACCCACCTGTGAGTACCGAACTAAGTGTAATGTCGTGAAACGTAGAGTGAACTATGGAACAATTTGGGGATGTCGTGCCCCGGTGGTGAATTTAATGGATCTATCCAAGGTGTGTGAGCGTGATTTTCGTTTTGAGGTTGACATGGAGCCATTGTGGTGGCCATGCTACCTGTTGATCTGACAGGGTGTGCTTACTAATGGGAGTAATAGATGGAAATTGCAGGACGATACTTACATGCGCCTTACGAGTTTGGACGATTGCTTTGACCTCTAGTATGGAAATAATGTTCTATGTAGAACTTGTTTCGGTACAAGAGTTGCCTGAGATGGCTTGGAGACCTAAGATAAGGAACGATTAATGCTTCCGGCCTGACGTATGTGAGCGTGGTCAAATGGGGTATGAATTACCTGAACGTAGCTTCAGGTGGATACTGGATTGAAGTTCGTGGACTATGAGTTGTCTCGGGAGACCTAGGCGATGATTAGGGTGAGTATACAACTAAAACCGAAATTTAAACTAGAAAACTCTCTCACTTACCTGTTTTGTGGTAGTGAGGTATTCAATGAGGTTGTGATCCTAGATTAGGAGTAGCCTAGCTAAAATACATGTATGAGGAAATGTTATGCTACTTGGTTTATTTGGATTGGAACTCAACTGCAGCGTGTAGAACTCCTTAATTACAATAGTAAAGAAATGAAGAATCTTTAAAGTATCAATACTGTAGCTTTAAGAAAAGAGAGGATTGCTGGCAAATTGAGAATCAAACAAAGTTTTAATAATTGATAAACTTAAATGAATTGCATATAGGCAATAATGCAATAAGAAGAAAGTGCAGGTTATCAAACAATACAAAGTTCATTAATAAGTATTTCCTCAGAGAAGTATTAAATAAGATTCTTTAGGTTGCTGGGAATAATCTTCAATAAAAACATAAGCAGGTAGTAGAGAGTATTTGCAAAGCAAGAAACAGTTCATAGTAAATAAGCATGATGGGAGTTGTCCTCCATATAATTAGTAACTTGAAGCAGAGAAGATTTGAGCAAGCAGGAATTGGTTCCAAGAAACAGTTCATAGTAAATAAGCATGATGGGAGTTGTCCTCCACATAATTAATAACTTGAAGTAACTTAAAGCAGAGAAGATTTGAGCAAGCAGGAATTGGTTCATTAATAAATGATATTGCAGACAATAGTTGAAAGATATACTTAAGGTTATGGAGAGTTGTCCTCCAAGAGTTCAGAGTTATAGTCCACTTGTAAATTAGCAAAGTATCCGTTCTCCAGTAATCCTCTATGGCATGCAGCAATCCTTGCATTCGCTCAAAGGCTAGGACGGCTTGTCAGAGCTCGTGGAGCCAGCGTGTATACCCGGAAGTAGGTCCCACAATCACCAAGCGCCTTCTCCCTGGCGCAGTCTCCCTAAGTACTGTCAGAGCCGCGTCAGAAGGGGGCGGGGCCGACTCCGCAATGCGGAAGTGCCTAACCCGGAAGAGATACCGCATGACAGGAAAAGGAAAAAGAGTTTGTGAAATTTTCAAAGTATACTCTGGGTGCTAAAGAGCTGTCCTTGTAATGGACAATCGTTCTAATTAATTATATACTGAGGTTGTGATTTCACAAGCTATGGTGACTGGTTTATAACAGGAGCTTTTAATACATGCACATGAAGGATGCTATGTTTTGGTAGATCACAGTATGCTGGGGGGGGGGTGGATTCGGCACGTGTGTATGTGTTTGCCGGCCCCTCTGCCCCGCGATTGCCGGGCTGTGTACCCGGAAGGCCCGTTGCGTCAGGGAGAGCGTTCGTGCGTCCGGGGTGAGGGTTGTTCCTGGCGAGTGTTTATGTGCGTTGGTGGGGGGAGCTGTACTTACCAGACCCGGAAGTGTGCCCGGTCTGGGTGCTCCGGCGGCGAGACCCAACAGTGGCCAGCAGGCTTGTGTCAGGCTGATGTTGGCTGAGAGCTGTTGGAATCCTTGCTGCTACTGGAGGTGCAGTCTGACTGGAACCGGAAGTGGACGCCAATGGAGTCAGAGTCGATCTCAGGCATGATTAGAGGTTGGTTGGAATTTAAATAGGCCAGTTAACCCCTCCCAGAACTACAGGCCCCGCCTTAACATATACATATATATATATATATATATATATATATATACACACACATACACATAATTATGATCATTATTATTATTTATATAGCGCCATCAGATTCCGTAGTGCTGTACAATGAACGTATATTTGACTGTGTGTATACATGGGTAAGTGAACGTGTTTATGACTGTGTGCATGTACAGGCCCGGACTGGCCATTGGGCATACATACACATACATAAAATACAGTGTATTTTGACTATATATATATATATATATATATATATATATATATATATTGATAACAAAATACACTTAGAACAAAATAATATATATATCTATATACATAAATATATATGTATATATATATATATATATATATATATATATATATATATATATATATTTTAATTCTACATATATTTATGTAATATTTTTACATAATTAAGTCATTTTTTTAATTACAATTTGCGGGACTTGCCTGATAACCCAGGCAGAAAGTTCAGAGAATTTAATTTGCTAGCACTATATTTAACCTTGTAAGTTTCCAAGACACCATAAAACCTGTACATGGGGGTTTACTGTTTTACTCGGGAGACTTAGCTGAACACAAATGTGTTAGTGTTTCAAAATAGTAAAATGTATTACAACGATGATATCATTAGTGAAAGTGAATTTTGATTCATTTTTCACACACAAACGGCACTTACACTGACGATATAATTGTTGTGATACATTTTATGGTTTTGAAACACTAATATTTGTGTTCAACGAAGTCTCCCGAGTATAATAGTACACCTCATGTACAGGTTTTATGGTGTTTTCAAAAGTTACAGAGTCAAACATAAGGCTTGTGTTTCAGTCTTTTCACATTGAAATTCGCCAGATTGGTTACACTGCTTTTGAGACTGTATGGTAGCCCAGGAATAAGAATTACCCCCATGATGGCATACCATTTGCAAAAGTAGACAACCCAAGGTATTGCAAATGGGGTATGTCCAGTCACTTTTACTAGCCACTTAGTCACAAACACTGGCCAAAACTGGCGTTCAAATTTGTTTTTTGCATTTTTCACACACAAATATTAACACTAACTTTGGCCAGTGTTTGTGACCAAGCGTCTACTAAAAAAGACTGGACATACCCCATTTGCAATACCTTGGGTTGTCTACTACTGGAAATTGTATGCCATCATGGGGGTAATTCTCATTCCTAGGCTACCATACGGTCTCAAAGGCAACGTAACCAATCTGGCGAATTTCAATGTGAAAAAAATGAAAAATGTAACATGCTATACCTGACCCTGTTACTTCCCAAAACACCATAAACTCTGTGCATAGGGGGTATTGTTTTACATGTAAGACATAGCTGAATGCAAATATGTGTATTTTATTGCAGTAAAAGCAAACAGTATTATGACATTCACAGTTAAAATGTCATGCACAATTAAAAAAAAAACAACCATTTCTTAATTTCTCACATTTTTTTAAATATTTTATTCATATTAAATTATGTTTTATAACTAAATATTTGATGTTAAATGAAAGCCCCATTTCTCCTGAATAAAATGATATATAATAGGTGTGGGTGCACTTAATATGAAAGGTGAATTACAGTTGAACAGACATACAGTCAAATTCCAACAAGTTTTGTTTACATTTTATTTTGATCAAACCTTTTACATTTGGCTCAGTCCTTAAGGGGTTAAAAAATGCCTGGGCCGAATTTTCTTCCCACTCCGGCGCTGTGAATGCATGGGTAAATGACAGAGAGCATGACTGTGCGCGTGTAGACAAATAAATGGGCACACATGGATAAATGAATGTGCATATGACAGTGTGGTTGTATGGGGAAATGACAGTGTATGTGATAGTGTGCTCTACTAAACAGCACCCTAATTTGGTATCCTAAACAGGGCAATCCCATGTAAGGGTACAAAATTAGAGAGCTATCTACTAAACAGTGTCCTAATTTGGCATCCTTAACCCCTTAAAACCGGAGGGCATACTATTACGGCCTATTCTAAGCGGATCTAAACGCCGCAGGGCGTAATAGTACGCCCTCCTGCTTTTTGTTACTTACCCAGACGCCGGCGATCATGGTTGGGGAGACTCATCTGGGATCCCACGGAGTCCCCCGTGGCAGATCGTGGCAGATCCTGCCTCCTCCGGTCCCCCACGGCCATGTGAGAGTGAGGTCCTTGCGAGGAAATAACAATCACATGGCCGGGTTAGCTGGCTGCTGCATTGCCAGCAAGGGGACTGCCTGTAATGACAGTTAGTCCCCCTGCTGGCTGGCAATAAAATAAATTAAAGTTAAAATCAGTGTAAAAAAAAATGATATACTTAGATCATATATATATATATATATATATACACACAAATACATACATACACTGCCTAGGTGTATTTTACTATTAATATATATATATATATATATATATATATATATATATATATATATTTATTAATATCAAATTACACGTAGACTGATACTGATTAAATATATATATAATTATTGTTATCTATATTTATATATAATATAAAAAAATATGTAAATACGTTAAAAAATAAAATGTCAAAAATAATTAAAAATAAATAATTAAAAAAATATATAGATGTGTGTTATTTCATTCTAACTGTAATGTGATATTAATATATATATATATTTGTATCAAAATACACGTAGAACGAAATAATCTATATACATAAATATATACGTATATATCACTATATATATATACATACCTATATATAAATAAAAATATTTTGAAAAATTATATATATATATATATATATATATATATATATATATATACACACATATATTAATTCTACATATATATTTATGTAATATTTTTACATAATGAGGTATCTTAATTAATTACAATTAGTGGGACCTGCCTGACAACCCATGCCGAAAGTATAGGGAATTTAATTTGCTAGCACTATATTTAACCCTATAACTTTCCAAAACACCATAAAACCTGTACATGGGGGGGGGGAGGTACTGTTTTACTCAGGAGACTTTGCTGAACACAAATATTAGTGTTTCAAAACAGTAAAATGTATTACAACGATGATATAGTAAAAAAGTAAAGTTTTTTGCATTTTTCACGTACAGACTTACACAGACGATATTATTGCTGTGATACTTTTTACTGTTTTGAAACACAAATATTTGTGTTCAGCGAAGTCTCCCGAGTACAACAGTACCCCTCATGTACAGGTTTTATGGTGTTTTCAAAGGTTACAGCGTCAAATATAAGGCTTGTGTTTGTGACCAAATGGCTACTAAAAAAGACTGGACATACCCCATTTGCAATACCTTGGGTTGTCTACTATTGCAAATGAAATGCCATTATGGGTGTAAATTTCATTCCCGGGCTACTATACAGTCTCAAAGGCAACGTAACCAATCTGACGAATTTCAATTTCAAATGTAACGTGCTATATTTGACCCTGTAACTTCCCAAAACACCATAAAACCTGTACATAGGGGGTACTGTTTTACACGTGAGACTTTGCTGAATACAAATATGTGTATTTTATTGCAGTAAAAGCAAACAGTATTATGACATTGACAGTTAAAATGTCATGTAGAGCTAAAAAAATAACAAAATGTCTTATTTTCTCCCATTTTTTTCATATTAAATTATGTTTCATAGCTAAATATTTGATATTAAATGAAAGCCCTCTTTCCCCTGAATAAAATGATATACAGTTGCAAGAAAAAGTATGTGAACCCTTTGGAATGATATGGATTGGTCATAAAATGTGATCTGATCATCATCTAAGTCACAACAATAGACAATCACAGTCTGCTTAAACTAATAACACACAAAGAATTAAATGTTGCCATGTTTTTATTGAACACACCATGTAAACATTCACAGTGCAAGTGGAAAAAGTATGTGAACCCCTAGACTAATGACATCTCCAAGAGCTAATTGGAGTGAGATGTCAGCCAACTGGAGTCCAATCAATGAGATGAGATTGGAGGTGTTGGTTACAGCTGCCCTATAAAAAACACACACCAGTTCTGGGTTTGCTTTTTACAAGAAGCATTGCCTGATGTGAATGATGCCTCACACAAAAGAGCTCTCAGAAGACCTACGATTAAGAATTGTTGACTTGCATAAAGCTGGAAAGGGTTATAAAAGTATCTCCACAAGCTCTACTGAAGTGGTCTGGAGTGCCTACAGTGTCCCTTTAAGACTAAAAAAAAAAAAAGGCTATTTTCTTCATTTTGCTATTTAAGTTGCTTAAAAGCCATTTACCTTTATCCCGCGCCGGGCTCCCTCGGCGCTGGTGACCTATCCTCCTGTGTGGAGCCGAATGCGCGTGCGCAGCCAGAGCCGTGCGCGCATTAAAGCACGCATAGGAAAGCATTTCTCAATGCTTTCCTAAGGACGTTCTGCGTGCTCAATGCGATTTTCGCATTGAGTGCCGGGGAAGTGCCTCTAGCGGCTGTTAGGAAGACAGCCACTAGAGGCTGGATTAACGATGCAATTTACATCTGAAGGGTTAAAACCTGGGGACCTGGCACCCAGACCACTTCATTGAGCTGAAGTGGTCTGGGTGACTATAGTGCGCCTTTAATACTAGTCCCTAATTTGCTATCCTTTATGAAAATGAACAGAATCAAAAAACGTTGAATCCATTTGTTACGAAAATTTTCGAATTGTTGCATTTCCAATTCTGCCAAATGTTTGCAAAATTCGTACAAAATAGGATTCATAATGAAACAAATGCACATGTCTAACATCCACTGGCAATTTTTTCAGCTGTGCTAATATGGCACATCCAGACTATAGAAATATTTTTGCAAAATGCATTTTTGGTTTATTTTTTAAATACTCTTCAATTCCAGCTTTAAATCATTTTTGTGTTTAAATGTTTACATAAAGTATCACATGGAACACAAGTTCAATATATATATAACCCTTCTTTTCTGTAAAATCTGAGAAAGTGGTCAAGGGACTGAATATTTTTGCAAGACACTGCATACATTTGCTGGTGTTACATGCTAATAATCATCATCATAATTATACTAAATCTGTCCAAATGTTTTTTCTCTATCATTTTCTCTTGTGGAGAGAAATTTGTGTGTAATTCCCCTTACTCCACTCATTGAGAGCAATACAATGAAATAATGGTGTAATCCTATTAATTCTTTACTGCTGTGGCAATCTACACATTCTTTCAGTGTTTGGTTTGATGATTTTATGCGTCATACACACATAGTAATTAATGTAATGGAACACAGTTATGTACAGACTGCAGAGCGCAACATTAAAATGTTTAATTCTAAATAAACTGCATTTACTTTGTTGCACTGTGGCCAAGAGGAAATAAAGCAGAAAGCAAATTAACGAGAGGTAGAAAAAAAAAAAAAAAAGTACTCCTACACAAAAGTAATTTCAGTTTCAAGGCTGTTTCTATAGGAACCATTTCACAGACAGGAGTAGAGCTGTGATGTTCAAAGCTAAGACCTGTGATGCCATCATACAATTCAGGCCGAAGCACTCTTCACTATGCCAGCCTCTTTCCGCCTCTGAACTTTGTGCCCTGAATCAGCCCTATAACTGTCTATTTTGTTGAATGATCTCTTGTTAAAACGCAGTTACAAAGTTCCATGCTGTCAGGCCTATCTTATCATCACAAGTAAGCCCTAGGCAGCCTTTGGCAGAAACTACCTGCGTAAAGAGTGCTGTGTAATAAGAGCCATTATGCGACAAAGGTGCTGTAAGTAGGCATGTGCATGGGGGAAATTTTCGGTTTGGTTTGGCATTCCGAAATTCGGGACTTCCGCACTTCGGCACTTTGACACATCGGAACGTCTCTTGCAGCCGCTTATTATCCCATGTATTAGGGAGTTATCTACCAAAAGGCTGAAAGACCTAAATTGGTCTTTCAGCCAAATTTACTAATTAAAAATTACTTAGTATTAGTAAATTTTGCCCCTACTCACTATACCGCGAGTAGGGGCATGTCTATTAATTAAAGAATAGGGCGGGGCAAGGCTTTATAAACCTTCCCCCGCCCTGCAGAGCTCAGTCTGCATGGAGCCCTCCATGGGTGAAGAAGGATTATTTTGTTTTGAGCTCGTTTATTTTTATTTTTTTAAGTGCGTCGGTTATTATGGTTTTTTATTTGGCTTTTTTTGGGACTGAAAAAATAAGATTTTAGAAGAAAGAAAACATCAAATGGTTAAGTTTTATTTTTTTTACAGGTACTTAGTTAATGCCCCCCCCCCCTCATTATTTTTAGGGTGAGGAGGTTAGGTAGGGGTTAGTTTTTTTGGGTAGGGGGGTGACTAGGGGTTTGGGGACCCCTAGTCACCTGGGGGAGGGGGGGTTAATTTTTTATTTAGGGCCCCATCTGTCGATCAGGGGTGGGGGCCAGGGGGGAGGAAAATAGGTTCCCCCTCCTTATTGGTATTTAGGGCCCCCACCCACCGCTCATGGGTGGGGGCCAGGGGGAGGACAATAGGTCCCCCCCTTATTTTACTCTAGGTCCCCCACCCGCCGTTCATGGGTGGAGAGGGGGGGGACGTTTTTTTAAAGTGAGCAGCCACAGGCTTAATAGACATGCCCCTATTTACGGTATAGCAAGTAGGGGCATAATTTACTAATACCAAGTAATCTTTACTTAGTATTAGTAAATTTGGCTGAAAGACCAATTTAGGTCTTTCAGCCTTTTAGTAGATAGCTCCCTAATACCGTGGGAATTAGGGAGTTATCTACTTATTCAGTCCTGCCATTACATTGACTGGCTAAGTAACTTACATTTTATATGAATGTATGTTACTTGATTGTTGTAAGTGTTGCAAATGCTTACAGCTGAATCCTGGCTATGTTTGTATACTTTTTATTTAAAATTGTATACAGTGTAACATTCTTAATTCTTCCACTGGTAAGTATAGTGGAAAATTTATTCATACTTACCGTAATTTTCTTTTCCTGGCTATTATTCATGGCAGCATATAAACATGGGTTAGCTCCTCCCCTACAGTCAATAGGACAGGAAAACCACCAAGGTTTTAAAAAGGAGGCTCCATCCCTAAGGTCCTCAGTCAGTTTACAAGCTCTACAGTACATAAATCGAGACATTAATGGGTGGGAAGTATATGCTGCCATGAATAATAGCCAGGAAAAGAAAATTACGGTAAGTATGAATACATTTTCCACTTTCCTGGCTAATCATGGCAGCATATACACATGGGGAATACCCAAGCTTACAAAGGGAGGGACAGAATAGCCAATCAAATTACTAGAATAATTCAACATAGATAGAAGAATGAACTGAGTTAAGTACTTGAGTACCAAATTGTGCATCATAGACTGTTTTAACGAACAGGATGAAATGCCAGACAAACATGTCTAAAGAGGTTCAAATGCTAGCTTACAAAAAGTGTCAGCAGAAACCATTGCCATGGCAACCCATGATGCTGCAACAGCATGAGAGGAGAGTGCCCTGATACCCTCCAGCACAGGTAGAGAACGAACGTGACGTCCAAATTGTGCCTCATTAATTGCTTCAATTTCCAATATGTAATGCAGGACAAACTAGTTCAAAGAGGTCCAAATGCCAACTTTACAAAGTTTCAGCAGAGACCATTGCCATGGAAGATGCCATGGAAGATGCCGTAACAGCACTAGTGGAGAATGCCCCAAATCCTTTGCTACAGGTAGAGAACGGCATTGAAAGGCTCTCACTTTAGGCAGGATCACTGGTGCTACATGCAAGACAAACATATACTATTGAAATTCAGTGAATGGGGGTACACAGGATCAAGCCTGGAGTTCACCCATTTCCCTTGCTGGGGTACCAGCCACCAGCGCTTTCTATGCTACCACCATGGAAGCTCCATTTAGAGGTTCGAATAATGGTTCAGTCAGGGCCCGTGAGACCAGTGGTACGTCACATATTGGCTTCACCACACTCAGTGGAGGCATGCTTTCAATCAATGCCTATATGAAGCAAAGTGCACACATTCACCCTGCTGAGGTACCAGTCACCAGCAACAGCAACATCTGGGCTAACATCATGGAAGCTCCTTGCTAGAAGTTCAGTCAGAGTCTGTGAGACCAGTGGTACGTCACATATTGGTTTCAACACCCTCAGCGGAGGCTTGAGTTAAATTGTTGCTTACATGAAGCAAAGCACCAGGGGCATCAATCGGTACCCTTCAGTACAGGTAGAGAATGACATAGATAAGCATTCACCATAGGCAGGATCTTCAGGTGCCAAATGCAAGACGACCATATCTGTTGAAAAGTAGTGAAAGGGGGTTCACAGGATCAAGCCTGGAGTTCACCCATTTTCCTTGCTGGGGTACCAGCCACCAGCACTTTCTGTGCTACCACCATGGAAGCTCCTTCTAGAGGTTCGAATAATGGTTCAGTCAGGGCCCGTGTGACCAGTGGTATGTCACATATTGGCTTCACCACACTCAGTGGAGGCATGATTTCAATCAATGCCTATATGAAGCAAAGTGCAGCTAAGTGCTCCTCTAGAGTGTTATAACACAGAACCTTTCAAGGCCTGAACGAGGAGTTATTCCAACAGACAAAAGCATGTCAAGCTTAGTAAAGCCTGTATATGATTGTAAGAGGATCTCAATGACCGTCTCAGGGATGCCTATACTAATATGGACTCCCGCACCAACACCAGAACTTGAGGATCCTGGTGTTTCATGGGGCCTTGTAATAGGTCTGGACGTACAGGAATTTCCCTTGGAGGTTCCAGAATCATCTTATTCATCATAGGAATTAGTCGACACGGTCTTCCACTGTCACCTTTTGCATTGCCTTTTTAAGAAGGTCGAAAACAGGAAAATATGTACATCAGACTAAAATTCTAAATTTGAGCCAGTGTATCCTGAACCTGAGAATTCTTGTCCTAGCATGTAAAAAATACTTCTGGACCTGGTAGTTCCAAGAAATGGACATCAGATCTATGTAGGGTATCAGACAATCTGCGTCAACCACGAGGATACGTCAGGACATGGTTGCCAATCCACCTTGTCCACAGTTATTTGGCTCCAGCAAACAGCCATGGTATTCTGAGCCACTGGTTGTTCTTCTGTGCCCTGATCATTATGGGCTGGAATTCCATCAATACGTATCTGTGAGACCCATCTTGGTAGATATAGGATACAGTTGCATTGATATTTGAGCAAATTTGGACCCCCTCATTCTTCAGCAAGCCTCTGAAGTGAAGAAGAGCCTTGAAAATTACTCTCAATTCCATACAAATGAATGGAAATATTGTGCAACATGGTCCAAACACTGTGCAACCAATCAAAAAACTGGAATTCGAGCTAATAATTGACCAATGAGGTTCTGTTCACTGGAAACTCAGATCTAATCCCTCTTTCAGCTGCCAGGGTAAGGTCAACTCCACTGATGGGGACATAGTAAGTGGCTGGCTCCAATAATCTTTCTCTGGTTAGACCAAGATAGGAAGGATCTGTAAGGAATCCAGAGATGCCATTGAGCCCATCTGACAAGTCTGCTGGTGGAAGCCAGGATTCCTAGTAGTTGCATCTATTTTCTTGCTGTTACCAAGCAGAAATGAAGAAACTAAGAGAGAAAACCTTTACAATCTGTGGAACTGTTCCCGAGATAGGGAAAAGCAGAGCCTAGAATTTTCCACTCGGGAATGTCAACCACTGAGCTGGTCTGAAACTGCTTTTCTTGATATTCAAGCAGCCAAACTTTAGGAGTTATGAAAGAACTATATACCTATGTGTGCCTGCCTTCTGGGGGTCTAAGGCTATCAGAAGTAGATCCTCCAGATAATGGAACCAGGTGGAGTTCTGGACTCTCAATAACACTAAAAGCACATAGAAAAATTCTTGGGGCCGCATTGAGGCCAAATGGTAGGGCACTAACATGGAAGTTCTCTTCTGAGCTAATGCCGAAGATCTCTGCAGATTGGACTGAAAGTAAGCATCCTTGAGATATATAGAGGTAAGGAAAGTATCCTTCCAGATTGCTTGAGATATGGATCTGATTGAGTCCATCTCGAAGACTCTAACATTCAGCCTCTTGTTGGCCCCTCTTAGGTCCAGTGTAGGCTTTCATGTGCTTTTCCTCTTAGCACCAGAAGAGAGGTGAAACTTGTCCCTGGAACTGCTCTTGTTCTGGGACCTAAAAAAAAAAAAAATCACCTCTGCGTCCAGAAGGCTTCTTCCTTCAGTGCTTTACCTTTTGATTCATTGGTCTTAATACTCCTGTTGGTATGGAGACTCCTGTGCCCGAAACTCCAGTCTATATCAATCTGGACCATGGATACCACTCAAGCCTCCAGAGTATGACAAGCCCAGGTATGTGTGATCAGAAAAATGAGGCTAGTACTGGAGGAGATATGTTCATTGCTGAAGAGCAAAACGACTGCGTTATAGCTCCATTAGAACCTTGAAAGGCAGGTTTACCAACTGCCATGAGTTACCTCTGGAGTATTCCCTGCAGGGCCAGTAGCTCCATGTATCTCAGAAATACTGGTCACTGGAGGTTCTCCGGTCAGACTATGAGGAGCTGGGATCCTTGGAACTTCCATCTTAAGGTACCAATATCTTGCAGCTCTCATTCGCCTTTTCAATGGAATAATCCAAAGTTTTCCCAAACAGCACCACCCCTTCAAATAGAATGGTGTAGAGGGCAGACTTGGAGCATGAGTCATCATACCAGAAACAGAACCATAATGCTTTCTTAGCTGCTATAGATAAAGCCATTTGATCCAGAGAATGTCCTAGTTACATCTAGGGAAGTTTCTGTGAAGAAGTCAGTGGTAACCTGAAGACTTCAGACTGCCTCTTCAATCTTGACTTTTAATATTTCTCTCCATAGTAGCCTTTAGATCTTTAATCACATATTTCATGTTTGTAGAAACAGCAGCGGAAATCACAGCTGGCTGGCCTCCTGCAATGGTAGGCGTAAAATTTTGGACAGGTCTGCATCCACCTATGATCCATAAGTGTGCAACTTAGGGGGTGTAGTTCTGGGGTTGGAAAGAACTTCCTCCACAGGGTAAAGCCTGGCCTCTTTTCTTACCCCTAAGGCCTCTGGAACTTACTTTGTAAGCCCTGCCCGCATGTCATGTGGCTGCACAGTGATAGGTCATGCTGAAGCGACAACCTTCTGGAGGAAGTCAGTGCATAACCGATTCCTTCCACTGTTTTCTCCTCATAACCAGATCCTGGTGAAAAATCAGACACCTGACAAATAATAATAACTAAATATTACCTGTGGTAAAGAAAAAATGTGCACTGTTAAATTCTATAAGAAACCAGCGAAACAGCTTTAAAACAGGCTAAAGACAGCACTTATCCATGTCTGGAGACCCTGCAAATACTTACCCAATAAGTGTATGTTTACTGTAATTTTCCCTTTATTTTAGGCACTTTCTGGCAATTGCCCTTATCCAAGATGGCTGCCACAACTTGTATTCCCACAATGCAAGTCATCTGTATTAGGCCCAATAAGGCACAAACTGCACACACGTGGGCCTATTCCGAGTGTGTTTGCAGTTTAGAGACCATGGAGAGAACTCTGTCTGAAGCCTACATGGGCCCTAAACACCCAGGGAACTGGGAATAAATCACTGGGACCGAGGGGGAAGCAAAATAGATAACAAACGTGTCTGCAAGGAAGTTTAAAAGGCAACCACGTGCAAAAAGTCAAAGTTTAAAGGCACCACAGTCTAAAGGCCTCAAGGTATAAAAGGTAACACAGTTTTCAAATCTAACACAGTTTCCAAAATGTAACACAGTTTTTAAAATATATCAGTCTTCAAATGCACTGCAGTTTTCCAATGCACTGCAGTTTTGCAAATGTACTGCAGTTTCCAATGACTTGCGGTATTACATGCAACAATATTACATGCAAATTTAAATGAAACCGTTTTAAATGCCACACAGCTTAAATGCAACACAGCTTAAATGCTTCCTGTACAAGCACAACCGCATAATGTACCACAATCTTAAAAATAAGGTACAGCTGTATAATGCACTAGTTTAAAGATATCAAAGCTTAAATGCATCACAGCATAAAAGCACAACTGCATAATGTATTACAGTAAAACAGCAAATAAAGTAATGAAGATAAAACAACATACATGTCCGTAAGTAAAGGGAGCAAATTGCTCATGTCCTAAGGGCTGTAGGACAGGAAAAAGACTGAGGACCTTAAGCATGGAGCCTCCTTTTAAAACCTTGGTGGTTTTCCTGTCCTATCAGCTGTAGGGGAGGAGCTAACCCATGTGTATATGCTGCCATGATTAGCCAGGAAATTAGTTCTTAGGCAATACTGTGCTTCGGCACTTTGGAAATTTGGTAATTTCAGAACTTCAGGACTTCGACAATTCTGCAATTCATCTATTCGGAAGTAACCGAATGTCCGAATTGCCCGAAATTGCACATGTACTCACTTTTGTTGCCAACGGTTTAGACATTAATGGCTGTGTGTTGAGTTATTTTGAGGGGACAGCAAATTTAGACTGTTATACAGGCTGTACACTTACTACTTTACATTGTAGCAGAGTATCATTTCTTCAGTGTTGTCACATGAAAAGATATAAGAAAATCTTTTCAAAAATGTGAGGGGGTACTCACTTTTGTGAGATACTGTGTGTGTATATATATATATATATATATATATATATATAATATCCAAAATGATGGCTGCACTCCTCGGGCTTCGTTTAAAATCCAAATGGTTTATTAGGTATACATTAAAAACGAGATCAACGTTTCAGCCACACTCTTGGGCTTTCCTCAGGATCAAAAAAATTACTGAATTTTAAACGAAGCCCGAGGAGTCCAGCCATCATTTTGGATATTTTATGTGAAAACAGCCTGCTGACTTATGCACCATATGCCGCATTAGCTAAGAAAGCATGAGTGCAAGGAAACTTTTGTCTTTTATATATATACATACAACACACTAGCAGTGTCCCCAACTTTCCACACTCAACACAAATGGCTTCATAGCCGCCACCACACTCCACTAGCATTATTGACCCATTCCCCCTCCTCACTTCCAACAATCATAGCACACACATTCCACCCAATCATACACACAGGCTGGTGGTCTTTCCAAATGATTTAATACGGTTAGAAACATTTCCAAATAATTTCTCTTCAGAAGTTACCATTAAAGTCTATGGGAGGTTTTTGTAGATAACCCATTTGGAAAATGTTCTAACAGTATTGAATAATTTGGAAAACATATTCAATCTAGGCCATAGGCTTCAATTTTATATTTCTGGATATGCTTTTCAAATGATTTAATATTTTTGGATACACTTTTAAAATTATTTTAAAGTTTGAAAAATATTTTAATATTCTGAGATTTTTGGTATAGTGATATATATGTATATATATATTTTTTTTTATCTATGATTTATATTTTTATATTTTTATTATTTTGAAAAAATTATTTTAAAATGTTGTCCAAAAATATTAAATAATTTCAGAAGCTTATCCAAAAATATTAAATCGCCATAATCAGGATGTGACAACTTTGCATTCCCCCTTATTCACACAAACACTACATGCCACAAAGATGCATACACAACATGCTACAGACATCATCCTAAATGCCAACAGAGTCACGCATATACCTAGACACACATTAGTTGGATTGGCATAAGTAAGCAAATATTTGCTATAGACCTTCAGCATGCTACACTATTTATAGGGCAAGCTATTATCCGGATTATGTACTAAACATTGGATTTTGTCCCAATGACCATATTCTGACTTCACTGCCAATTCTCAGATTTACTAAAGCCAAATGCGGTCAGGATTCAGTCGGCCTGTGCGATTCTGTAACATTCGTTCAGGTGAGTTCAGAAAATCATTGATTTTCGTATCCGAACCAATTTACAGCACCGGAATCATAGATTTATCAACGACTGCATAGCGGCTGATGATAAAACGAATGCATCCGGTAGGATTCATGTTTGCAAAGTGAATTGATAATTTGAGGAAATAACAGCCAGTTGGCAAATAGTTAAAAATAGTTGGTGGAGTGAGGATTCATTATGTGGCGGCTGGCCAGCGTTTGCTAGCCAGCCGCCACATTAAAATAGTAAAATAAATAAAAAAATAAATAAAAACCTATAAGAGTCAATAAGATCCCCATATTACTATAATGGAGGTTGGAAACCTCCATATTTCCCCACCAACCATATGGCAGATGGGGGCATATGTGCTTTTTACCACTGCTTCCCAGTCGCTAAAAATGGCCGCATCCCATGAGGAAGGGTCCTGTGAGGTGGACATAGTCCCTCCTGTGCCCAACCCATGGGCATTTCTTGGGACAACTTTGTCCCCTCCACTGGCTTTCACACATAAGGGGGAGTGGGGGCTCTAATATTAACAATAAAGTGGGAGGGGATCTATTGCCTCCTGCCCCAGCCCTACCCATGGGTGACAGGTTGAGGCCCTAATTAATTTTGAAATAGGTGGGGGGTGAACATGCCATTGTCCACGACCCAAATAAGTTTAAGCTCCACCTGGGTGGGTAATGGTTGCCAATACCCTAGTCACCTATTCCCTTCACCCTAATAATAGTAATAAGGGACAAAAACCATCTAAAACCTGTAAAAAAAAATTATACTTACCATCAGAAGTCTTCATTCTTCACTTTCTTCAGCACCAAAAAAAGCCAAATAAAAATCTATAGTAACCGACTAATTAAAATATATATTTTTGAAAACACCAGAAAAAATTAAAATATGACCAATATGACAAAGAGCTCTCTGATTGGCTAATAAACCAACCAATCAGCGCACTCTGACAGCCAAGTCTCACTTCACCTGAGACTTGTTGGCTTTTAAGAAAGCATAGTGTGGAAAGCTCTCATAAAGGTTAATAGAAACATAGAAACATAAAATGTGACGGCATATAAGAACCATTCGCCCCATCTAGTCTGCCCAATTTTCTAAATACTTTCATTAGTCCCTGGCCTTATATTAAGTCTAGTATAGCCTTATGCCTATCCCACGCATGCTTTAACTCCTTTACTGTGTTAACCTCTACCACTTCAGCTGGAAGGCTATTGCATGCATCCATTATTCAATCCTGCTATGCAAGTTCAGTCTGTGCCGAACCCTCATTGTACAAAGATGGGTTATTTTTATCGTGTGGGTGGATTTCAAAGACATGCTAAAAATATAACATGGGGTCCAAGATAATATGGTTATCAGAAATTTTACAAATGTCATTGTGAAGGAGCTCTTGTACTTACATATATGCTTTCAGTTGAACCTTCTCCCTGCTGTTTAAATGCCTGTATCAGTTCGGTTCAATATGTATGGAATGAATGTATTCGTTTACCGAACGGAGACCACACACCCTGGGTAGCAATCCGCATTAGAACGCAGAGAAAACCGCGACTTAATTGCTACTAGGTGGCCGCCATTCGACATACGAACACGTGGCGAGAACAAAGGATGGCGGCCATCTTAAAACTCACGAATGCGGTCAGCGGGGCTTACGCATGAATTGCCTGGAACTAATTTCGGCACGGCAAACATGCGAACGCCTGGTCCCCATGGAAGTCCTGGATGAATACGTTCCCCTCCACGAATCAAACTGGCGTTCGGTAGATAGCATCTACCGAATGAGGGGAACATTCACATGTAACCAGCTGAACCATACGAACGGTGGTTTTCGTGTAGTTAGATGCGAACGGAGACCGGCTCTTGCTACTGATTCTATGGAACTCTAACTCGGATACCTCCACATGGCAAGCCGGTCAAACTTCCACATGATGCAACACGGAAACTACCAAACGGAAATTCGTGAGATTTGGATATGTAACTACCCGTATCCTCAGCTATCCAGGGATGTTAAAAGTATATTTGTATGTCTTGTAAAAAGTATGTTTCTGAAATTGTTAAAAATTTTAATGTTTCTGGCCAGCAGATAATTGAGCTTTGTGTATTGTAGAAACTAAATTATCTAGCCTGGCCCAGAGGAGGAGTTTTGTGTTGCATAAATTGTGAGTTCTGTGTGCCAGTAAATTAGTCTTGTTCCAGCATTAAGCTTTGGCTCATGTGTGGATTATTTGGCGATTCCAGGGATATTTCTACTTGTGGAATATTGGGTGATTTTCTTTTATGGGAAGAAGGGAATGCTTGACGGTGATACCCTATACTACCGTCACAACTGGTGGCAAGCGGTGGGATTTTCCCTTCTTTTTCCCTGCACAGAGGATTCAAGGAAGGCACTGGGGTGTAGTGCATGGAGGGCAACGCTAGCACTTGTGCAGCGACCCTGGCTTCAGAGGAACTCAAGGGATAGAGCTAGCTACGGGCAGCGTCCCTATCCACAGCAACATGGAAGAGGAGTTTCGCTGGAGGTTGCAGCAGCACTTGGCCCAACAGGATGGGCCTGTATCAGAGGAGTGCATACTGGACTGGAGAGATGTCACTCGTACGGAGATGTGGCACGATGCCCTGGAAAAGGTACAACGGCGGCGAGGAGAGAGCCTTCCCAGTGACAAGCAGCGGTTCCAGGTACTCGAGGCCCTGCGCTCTCCTTTCCTAGGGGAGCAACCCTTGGATGAATGGTTGTTGGAACTCTGGGATTTAATTTGGAAGGAGTTGTGGCTAGATGCAGCTTACCGGGCATTAAAGTGGTACGCCACCCAGCGCAACCCCTGGATGACTAACCACTATCTGCCCGAGGGAGAGGATTATAATGGCCCGGGCTTACTGTGGGAGTCCTTTGAGGAGGGCGATGACTTTGGATGCCCCACGGAGTTTCGGTTCTGGGACATCCACAACATCAGGGAAACCCTGCTGGATCTTCCCCGAGCGGACGACCTGGGGCCAGACCTGAGTCATCTGGTCGCAATGGAGTGGGGGCTGGAGCAGAGCTACCGACGCCTGTTCAACTTAGCCCAATCACCGTCCCTCAGCCCAGAGGATTACCTGGACACCCTACCCTCTTCTGTCCAACCAGCCCCAGAGGTGAGCAACCTTATGGAACGGTCCTGGGAAGACCCACAGATGGCAGGTGGAGATGGAACCGAGGTCTCTCCACCTGCCCAACAGGGATGCTGGGTACCCGGCCCAGACCCCCAGCGGCAGTGTATTTCACAGGGAGAGGAGACAACCGGTCTCCCTTCCCAGCCGCAGCCTGAGTTCCAGGAGGAGGTGATGGTAGATCCCTCCCCCATACAGCAACCCGCGTCCTGGGGAGGGGAGGCAACCGGCCTCCCTCTCCAACAGCAGCAAGAGATACCAGAGGTGAGGTACCTCATAGACTTGTCCGGGACACACACACAGATGGCAGGTGGAGATGGGACCGAGGTCTCTCCACCGGCCCTACAGGGATGCTGGGTATCCGGCTCAGATCCCCAGTGGCGGTGCATCTCACAGGGAGAGGGGACAACCGGTCTCTCTGCCCAGCGGCGGCCTGAGTTCCAGGAGGAGGTGATGGTAGATCCCTCCACCTTACAGCAACCAGCACCCTGGGGAGTAGGGGCAGCCGGCCTCCCTCTTCCACCGCAGCAGGAGGTACTGGGTGAGGGGGAGAACAACCCTAACCACACTGGCGCAGATGGGACCGTGGTCTCTGTGCCAGTCCTACAGGGATGCTGGACGGATGGTCCAGATCCCCAACTATCCCTGCAGGGATACCGGGAGGAAGAGGTAAGCAAGCCCTCCCCTCCACAGCTACAACCCGACCGGGTCCTGGGGGCAGTGGATGAACCTGCAATACCCACTGACCCCCTCCCAGCAGAAGGGCTGGCACCTGAGCAGAGCACCGCTGGCCTCTGCCCTACCCTTCTACCTTGCCCAGAGCCTGACACCCTGCAGGCTATCCCAGTGGAAGAGCTGGCACCTGGGCAGAGTACCGCTGACCTCTGCCCTACCCTTCTACCTTGCCCAGAGCCTGACACCCTGCAGGATATCCCAGCAGAAGAGCTGGCACCAGGGCAGAGCACCGCTGGCCTCTGCCCCCCAAGAAGCCCCAGCTGTTTGCTTAGCTGCACCAGGGAGACCGAGGATGCTGAACTGTCCCGCTACAACCTGGGACCTACAGGCCAGTACTGTTTATTGTGGGGGGGCTACTCTGCTGATTTTTCTTTGTGGGTGGGCTGCTTGACTAACATGGGTCCTGACAGATGGAAGGCCAGGCATCTGCGCACCTGGAGAGGACTACTAGCCGGCCTCCTGCCATGGGTTCATGGACCCGGGAAGGGCTGGCCCTTTAAATGCTGGATGTGGACTGGCCCGCCAAATGGTCTTATTCTTGGACTAATGGCTGGAAGTCCCGTCAGCCCCACTGGACCCGGAAAGGTCCAGTCATGTCTGCCGGAGCAGGGAGTAAAAGGGGGGCCATTGTGAAGGAGCTCTTGTACTTACATATATGCCTTCAGTTGAACCTTCTCCCTGCTGTTTAAATGCCTGTATCAGTTCGGTTCAATATGTATGGAATGAATGTATTCGTTTACCGAACGGAGACCACACACCCTGGGTAGCAATCAGCATTAGAACGCAGAGAAAACCGTGACTTAATTGCTACTAGGTGGCCGCCATTCAACATACGAACACGTGGCGAGAACAAAGGATGGCGGCCATCTTAAAACTCACGAATGCGGTCAGCGGGGCTTACGCATGAATTGCCTGGAACTAATTTCGGCACGGCAAACATGCGAACGCCTGGTCCCCATGGAAGTCCTGGATGAATACGTTCCCCTCCACGAATCAAACTGGCGTTCGGTAGATAGCATCTACCGAATGAGGGGAACATTCACATGTAACCAGCTGAACTATACGAACGGTGGTTTTCGTGTAGTTAGATGCGAACGGAGACCGGCTCTTGCTACTGATTCTATGGAACTCTAACTCGGATACCTCCACATGGCAAGCCGGTCAAACTTCCACATGATGCGACACGGAAACTACCAAACGGAAATTCGTGAGATTTGGATATGTAACTACCCGTATCCTCAGCTATCCAGGGATGTTAAAAGTATTTTTGTATGTCTTGTAAAAAGTATGTTTCTGAAATTGTTAAAAATTGTAATGTTTCTGGCCAGCAGATAATTGAGCTTTGTGTATTGTAGAAACTCAATTATCTAGCCTGGCCCAGAGGAGGAGTTTTGTGTTGCATAAATTGTGAGTTCTGTGTGCCAGTAAATTAGTCTTGTTCCAGCATTAAGCTTTGGCTCATGTGTGGATTATTCGGCGATTCCAGGGATATTTCTACTTGTGGAATATTGGGTGATTTTCTTTTATGGGAAGAAGGGAATGCTTGACGGTGATACCCTATACTACCGTCACAGTCATAATTCAACTTCTGAGCAATTGAAAGCTTATGGATATGAAGACCTTTCCCACTTTAAAGCAAATCCAGTTAAGATTAAAAAGAGGTTTTCACATCTCTAGCATTCTTGTTCCGTCAGTGGAAATAGCATTAGTAGCATTTTAAAGAAGATGTTATACAAATTTCATTTATAGGAGACATCAAATGTACTTTATGCATCCACTTAGAGAAGTGACGCATGTCACTTCAGATTTTTGAAATAAGTCAACACCTAACACCTAAACAGTAATGGTCTGTTATGTTCTTATTTTCTTCAAATAAAGTGAAATCCTAATTTTACCTATTACCTTTGAAAAAGAAACACTTTGAGCAATGCAGCTGAAAATGGAAATTACTAACGAGTGGAAAACTTCATGTGGTTTATTTTCCGTAGTTCAATAGATTAACCAAGGCAGCAATTGTCATACACCACATGGCTTGTAAACGTCAAACCCCCATCTCTTTTTTTTTTTTTTTCTTCAAACAAATAAAATCCAACTGGGACTGCTAGTAGTGTTTATGGCATGGGATTCACAATTTGTTACAGGATGTTTTTTCTGTATGTAATGTTATTTGTATTGAGTTTTTTCCCTTAAATATTTTTCATTCCATTTCAGGAATCTGATGTTTCTGAAGGAAACTATCTTTAAAATTCCATAATTCCAAAGAAATGCTCTCTCACATTCCCCTTGCATGTACTAAAATCTTAAACAATCAATGTAGTCTTCCCTATTATCCTGATTTTAGGGTCCTGTCCCGCCATCCTGGATTTGTTCTCTGGTGTCCCGTTTTTGAGCATGCGCTTGTTACGCTAAGGGTATTAGGAGCATGCAGAGAGCACTGAAATACAGCTCCTGCCATGGTCTGCCCTCAGTGGACTGGCTTGTGTGATATGAAGGCAGACTGGCGTGCATTAATGCCATGCTTACCTGCCAGTAATTCTGGTGTAGCCACCCCAATTTCAATCAGGTCTACACCCTTTAGCAGTGCCAGTGACGGATTTGCATCACTGGTCCACTCCATTTTACCCTGCCCATCAGCATCCCAATTCACAGGATGCCAATGTTGCTGGCTATAATCAATGCTTTAAAAAAAAAAAAAAATATATATATATATTTTTTTTTAAAATTCAGCAGTGTTGAGCATGCGCTTGTTACGCTAAGGGTATTAGGAGCATGCAGAGAGCACTGAAACACAGCTCCTGCCATGGTCTGCCCTCAGTGGACTGGCTTGTGTGATATGACACTCACTCTAACACTCACTCTAACACTCACTCTAACACTCACACTAACACTCACACTAACACTCACACTAACACACACACTAACACACACACACTCTAACACTCACACTAACACTCACACTAACACACACACACTCTAACACTCACACTAACACACACACACTCTAACACTCACTTTGCCGTGCCGAAATTAGTTCCAGGCAATTCATGCGTAAGCCCCGCTGACCGCATTCGTGAGTTTTAAGATGGCCGCCATCCTTTGTTCTCGCCACGTGTTCGTATGTTGAATGGCGGCCACCTAGTAGCAATTAAGTCACGGTTTTCTCTGCGTTCTAATGCTGATTGCTACCCAGGGTAGCCATTGCTACCACTAAGAAGTAGTGGGAGTCTTAACACAGCGCTTATATCTGTATGGTTTTATTTCATATGTGTCCTATTAAAGCGGCACTTTAATACCATTTGGGGTTACAGTACCTTCTCGGCGCTGACGTTACTGCTGTAATCTCGTACATAAGCGAGAGCATAGGCGTGCGCAGCCTATTGCATTAGGGTGTGCACCCTAAAGCACAAGCACACGCCGCATATATATATATATGTATATATGTGTATATATATATATATACATATATATATATATACACACACACACACATATATACACACATACACACACTACTGTGTGTGTGTGTGTGTGTGCTGTGTCAGGGTGCTGTTAGTGTGATGTGTGTGACGGTGCTGGTAGTGTGCTATGTGGGTGAGGGTGTGCGTGCTTGTGAGGGTGCTCTTAATGTACTGTGTGTGACGGTGCTTTTTGTGTGTGTGTGCGCTTGTGAGGGTGCTGTTAATGTACTGTGTGTGAGGGTGCTGTCTGTGTGTAAGGGTACTGGTAGTGTGCTGTGTGTGTGTTTGTTAGGGTCCTGTTTGTGTTTGTGAGGGTACTGTTAGTGTGCTGTGTGTGTGTGAGGTTGCTGTTTGTGTGCTGTGTGTGAGGTTGCTGTTTGTGTGCTGTGTGTGAGGGTGCTGTTTGTGTGCTGTGTGTAAGGGTACTGTGTGTGTTTGTGAGGGTGCTGTATGTCTGTGGGTGCTGTATGTGTGTAGGTGCTGTGTATATCTGTGGGTGCTGTATGTGTGTGGGTGCTGTGTATGTCTATGGGTGCTGTATGTGTGTTGGTGCTGTGTATGTATGTGGGTGCTGTATGTGTGTAGGTGCTGTATGTGTGTGGGTGCTGTGTATATGTGTGTAGGTGCTGTGTATATCTGTGGGTGCTGTGTATGTCTGTGGGTGCTGTATGTGTGTGGGTGCTGTGTATGTCTGTTGGTGCTGTGTATGTCTGTGAGTGCTGTATGTGTGTTGGTGCTGTGTATGTCTGTGGGTGCTGTGTATGTCTGTGGGTGCTGTATGTGTGTAGGTGCTGTATGTGTGTAGGTGCTGTATGTGTGTGGGTGCTGTGTATATCTGTGGGTGCTGTGTATGTCTGTGGGTGCTGTGTATGTCTGTGGGTGCTGTATGTGTGTTGGTGCTGTATGTGTGTTGGTGCTGTATGTGTGTTGGTGCTATGTATGTCTGTGGGTGTTGTATGTGTGTGTGCTGTATGTGTGTGGGTGCAGTGGCGTACACATGACCCATGGGGCCCGGGTGCGAAAATTGATCCGTGGGCCCCCCCCCCGCACGCGGGCCGGGCCGCAACACATGGCGGTGGGCACCTGGTCGTAGGGGTTACAGAGCTGCGACCCCTGCGACCGCGGTATGTACGCCAGTGCATGCAGATGCACACACACTTAAAGGACCACTACAGACACCCAGATCACTTTAGCTCAATGAAGTTGTCTGGGTGTCAGGTCCCTCTAGTTTTAACCCTGCAGCTGAAAACATAGCAGTTTCAGAGAAACTGCTATGTTTCACTGAGGGTTAATCCAGCCTCTAGTGGCTGTCTCACTGACAGCCGCTAGAGGAGCACACTGAACGTCCATAGGAAAGCATTGAGTAATGCTTTCCTATGGGCGGTTTGAATGCGTGCGCGGTCGCATTCGGAGCTGAGAGGCTGAGGGATCCCCAGCGCCAAGGGAGTCCGGCGCTGGAGAAAGGTAAGTGCTGAAGACACACTTACAAACATACACACTAGCTAACAGACACACACATTTACTGACAGAGACACACTCAGCGACAGACATACATACACACTCACTTACAAAACATACACTCTCATTGACAAACACGCACTCACTAACAGACATCAACACTGACACTCACTAACACGACACTCACTAGCAGACACACATACTAACACTAACACTGACACTCACTAGCAGACACACACACTAACACTCACTAGCAGACACACATACTAACACTCACACATACTAACACTCACACACACTAACACTCACTAGCAGACACACACACTAACACTCACACACACACTAACACTCACTAGCAGACACACACACTAACACTCACTAGCAGACACACACACTAACACTCACACATACTCTACACTAACACACACTAACACTCACTAACACTCACTCACTCTCACTAACACTCACTCTAACACTCACTCTAACACTCACACTAACACTCACTCTAACACTCACTCTAACACTCACACTAACACACACACTAACACACACACACTCTAACACTCACACTAACACACACACACTCTAACACTCACACTAACACTCACACACACACACACACACACACTAACACTCACACATGTTTTTTTTTTTTTTATGTAATCCCCCCAGCCTCCTTACCTTTTGGAGTGTTGGGGGGATCCCTGGGGTCCAGTGGTGATGCTGGGCGGGCGGGCGGCCGGTCGGGCAGGTGGGCGCGCGAGGGAGCACTCAGTGCTTCCTCTTCAGCTCCCTCGCGCGCCGCGTAGGGATGCCGGCGCCGGAAGATGACGTCGTCTTCCGGCTCCGCTATCAGTGCGGTGCGCGAGGGAGCTGAAGAGGAAGCACTGAGTTCTTCCTCGCCCGCCCGCCTGCCCGACCGGCCACCCGCCAGCTGGGGTCAGCAGGGCCAGCCTCGGGGGGCCCTGGGGTGGTCGGCTCCTGGGCCCCCCAGGAGAAGAGGCTGGCCCTGTGGGTACATACCGGGTCGCAGGGGCGGCCGGGCCCCCTGGTGGGCCGGGCCCGGTCGCAGCCACGACCCCTGCGACCCTGGTATGTGTGGGTGATTGTGGGGGGTGGAGGTGGGGGTACATTACTTGATAACCCCCTCCCTTCTTACCTTATGTAGGGAGGGGATCTCGTGCTGCTGCTTTCCCTGGTGGTCCAGTGGAGAGTGAAATCTAGCTCCTGTGGGGCTAGAGTTCACTCTCGCGAGATTTGAGCGTTGCCGTGGCAACGCTCATATCGCGCAAGAGGAACCCGGCAGAGCTGCTTGCAATAGCTCCCCGGGTCCTCTCCTGCCTCCCTCCCTGCATGTGGGTCGGTGGGGAGGGAGGCTGAGAGCAGAGCCGGCGCTCGGATAGTGCCGGCTCTGCATGAGCCGACAGGGGAGATCCTGAGATCTCCCCTGCCGGTCTCAATATACATAGGTGTGCCGCGGGGATTAGGGTGTGCCCAGGCACACCCGGCACACTCTGTGCGCATGCCTATGAGTGGGACAGGGACACTGCATCCAGACAATTTCAATGACAGAAAGAGAAATTAGAAAAATAAAATGTATTGGGGTAATGAGCCAGTGCCTGTAACCCCCTCCACGAGTATCCTACTATCCTCAGGTCCCAAATCTTGGAGAAGGTGGACGCTGTGTGTCTCACTGTTAGTTCATCCATTATGCAATGTCCTCTATTTTAGCTAAAACCTCTCTTAGGGATGGTACCTCCATCTTTAGCCAGCCTCCACTAAAACCCTTTTGGCTGCCATGGAAATTAAGTTTAGTAGTTTTTGAGAATGTTTCGGCATTTTTTTAATTGGGCATGAAAGCAAAAACACCGATGGAGATAGTTCCATGGGTTCTGTAAGACTTTTTCCGCAAGGTCCGTAATCTCTTTCCAATACTCATGTAGTTTGGGACAGTCTCCTGACATGTGGAGGTGGGTCCCTTTGAACTAGATGTTTTAGGATCATTGTCACAATTAGGTTTTTTAGTAAATAGACTGCTCCATAATTTTGAAATAAAAACTCAATCAAAAGATATACATGGCATAATTATTAAAAATGGCAGAGATATCTTCCCCATCTGCCATCACTTGCAATGTTTGATGGTCATCATCTTACTATGGCATCTCATTGCACTTGAGTAAGATGATCTATATGCAGGCATAGGCTAGCTTTCGTACTCCAGATGTTGTGGACTACATCACCCATAATTTTCTTACAATCATAATGCTAGCAAAGCACTAGGGAAGATGTAGTCCACAACACCTGGAGTGACAAAGGTTGCCTATCCCTGCTCTATAGGATCTCTAGATCTAACAGGCCAGGCGTCTCTTCTGCCATGACCTGGAGGTCAAAAGATGAAAGCACAAGGGGAGTGAGCTATAGATACATATATCTCCCAACTAAATTTAGAGGAACTTGCGCATTTTTCTCAGTATTACAGTTAGTGGCTAGCTATGAAGTCAGTCAACCTCAGTGTATTGTAGGGCTAGCTGGAAAATGCATATACATGTTCCTTTCAGTTAGGTCTTATATGTCGGTCGTTCAGACAGTTGAACTATTTTGTTTAGCAGACTGCCTGATGTGTATTCCCATTTCATGTGTGAGTTTATACCTGCTCTCCCTAGCACAATGGACTAAACATACTTGGATTCTGTTAACTTGTGACAGCAGGTAAGAAGGGGTATTGAATAGCACTGTACCTTAAACCATGAAATCTCAGTTGGAGTTGCTATTTTGCTGGAACCTATATTGTTAGTGAATCAACCTGATGAACATCTTTAATGCAATTACTTTGTTGCAGCTTTTCATGTTTGCTATAACTACTTGATTAAACTAAGAGACATTAAAAATAGATCTTAAGAGGTTGTATAATTTCATTTCATAGGCTACCAGCTAAATAATTCTTGAATAAAAAAAAAATGATATATTGAACAATATTCCACTGGTTTTTTTTTTTGTTTGTTTTTTTTAAAACCAACCTTTTTCTCTTTGTTATATATTGTGTGATCTTCCACATAGTGTTCTCATAGTCATAAAGCATTTCATACAGAGATCCAATGTGAGTTTATATACGACAATAAAGCTCAGAGATACTCTCATCCATATTACGACTATTTATTGCAATGAGAAGAAGAGGTTTTGCACATTTTGAGAGGATAGCCATTCCACTTAGGTCAGCATGTTATTCACTAGAATCAGAATTGTCCACAAAATTGATCAGCCGAACAATTCAGCTATTATTAAAGGGACACTATAGTCACCTGAACAACTTCAGCTTAATGAGGTTGTTCAGGTGAGAACTATAGCTCCCTGCAGCCTTTCTCATGTAAACACTGTATTTTCTGAGAAAATACAGTGTTTACATTGAAAGCTAGGAACACCTCCAGTTGCAGTCACTCAGAGTGAACCAGAGGGACTTCTGAGTTGATGGAGGAATAATATGCTTCCATCCACTCAGATCTGCTGTGCACGAGCATCTTGTGATTCAGTATCTCCTCCCACTGCATGCAGACAATGAACTTTCCTCATAGAGATTCATTGATTCAGTTCATCTCTATGAGGAGATGCTGATTGGCCAGGGCTGTGTTTGAATCATGCTGGCTCTGCCACTGATCTGCCTCTTTGTCAGTCTCAGCCAATCATATGGGGAAGCACTGTGATTGGATCAGGCTATCACATGTCAGCTGACTGCTTGTTTTTCCTGACTCTAACAGCATGCAGATTTACAGCTTCTGGCTTGAATACAGTAAGATGTTTACTATATTTATGGAGGCATGAGGGCCCAGGGGGGCTAGATGGTTTTGTTGACACTATAGGGTCAGGAATACATGTAGTTGCACTGGTGACTATAGTGTCCCTTTAAATGCAGATTGGGTGATTTTTCAATTATGGTACCAAAATGTGCAAATTCCATTGATCGATGTTTGGGAAACTAAGTTAGAATGCTAGGAGAATTGCAGTAATTCAGATATTTAACAATATCTGGATTATAGAATGTTGCCCAGAATCATTTAAGATGAATTGAGATTAATTCAGAGGCAGATTATTGAACCCCTTGGGCTGTTAAAATTAAATCCCAACCATGAAAGTCATGACTGGTGGATAAACCGTGTTATATAAATATAATAAGCCAGAATTGGCGTACACCTCTTCAAGTCATATGCAGGGTAAATTATCTTATTGGTAGTCTATGAGATCCTCTGTGAAATCAAAAGAGAAATGATTCTTCACTCTTCCTCAAACCAGTGAGTAGAAGGTGAGCAGTGGTTCCCCAAATATCAAGTTATCCAGAAATGGATCTACAGTACAAACATACCCGCTATTCCCTTACCCCTTATATGGTTTGATTGGTGTTAAAGTGGCACTGTCATGGCCGAGTCCCGTTTTTTTTTTTTAACCCCCTTCCCGCCTCCATTACATCGAATTGACCCCTTAGTCACCCCCAAATACCCCTAAGCCCCCATATTACCTATTTCTAATCTTTATTTTCTGCCCCGATCTATATTCAGGGCACCGCCATCTTTGTGTGGGTAGAGGAAGTCCCTGTGGGACACGTCATCTGCCCACACTAGCGCTATGAAATTCCCGCACATGCCCAGTGATACACTTGGACATGCGAACGGGAATTTCATCTATTCATTCATTCGTCAGAAAGACAAATGAATAAATAAAAAATTCAGACAAACAAACAAACACTGAATATGAGTGTTCGTTTGTTCGTTCAGTTTATTACAAGGAGGGAGCTACCGGCACGCATCTCCCTCCTTGTAATATGTAAAGATAGAAGCGGTAGGGAGCAGTGCTCCCCGCCACTTCCTAAGCCCCTCATGTCCTCCCTCACTCTATGGGGGTCAATATGACCCCCATAATAGCATAAGGGAGATTAAAATCTCCCGAATGCTCCTACTCACTATACCGCGAGTAGGGGTACGTCTACTATATAGTGAGCAGCCTGTGGAAAGAATCTACTTTTTAGAACTCCTCTTTATTTAATTAACTTTTAACATTCCCTTATATGAGTGAGGGAGAAAGAAGACATAGATCTTAGCTCCTGGTAGGGGGTCATGAAGAATATATCTTGGAGATCATTTTAGGAATACCTGTAGCTTGTGAATTAATTCCATACAAAATGCTTGTGTTATATGCCCCCGGTTACTTGAAAATCACACAGTTCTGATTATTTTATATAGTCTGCGTAATTCGCTTTTTCTCTTTGGCTGTTCACGAACACAGCGAATAACAGCTATATTATAAAAGAGGATTTTCTTACTGTACTGACTCAATATTTAGCAAATATACCCCAAACAGGATATCAAAGAAAAACAGCTAATGGACATCTTTACAGAGAGTAACAGGCTGTGTACAGAAGAACTGGCAAACAAAATCATGTAGAAAAATATAACAAAAGCCAAAATACTAAAGGGGGAGAGTGGGAGTGGGATGTGAGACTGGCCGTTTCCTTGGAAACACACATCTAGCTGCATATGGTACTAAAGAAATGGAATCCCCTCTGTTATAATGTTAGAGGAGAGCGCTCACTGCACTGACAGCTGAACTGCTACTAGTCTTTCGCTACATGAACTTGATCCTTTTCCAAAGTTCCCACTAATTACTGTACCTACTCTCCCAGAAGGGTGCATGTTGGATTCTAATGGTTCCTTAGATGGCACCTAGAATATTCACATTTCCAGGTTGGCATTACCCAATGCACCTGCACCTGGCTGTTAACCCCTTTTGTTCCAGCCTTGATCAGTTTTAAGATTTAACAATTTATTTCCTGATCTAAAAGTAGAAATAAAATAAAAACAAGCAAACGTATAGGCATGAAAAGGCTAAACTTAGAAATATTGAACTAATAATTAAGGAAAGCACATATTGCAACATTAGAGGGTCCTGATCAATCCTTCAACCAAAAACAAATAAACAAACAACGGTGCGTATTTCTGTCTCATAATAAAACAATCCATTCATCTAATCAGTAGACTTTTTAATCGCAAGGCATTCTCAGTATCGTGTAACGTGAGTGCGCCTAATTATCAGCTTGAATCGTTTAAAATACAATGTAATTATTAAATGTTCATCATCTACCCATCTTCATGCCCTGTTTTGTATTAACGAAAACAGTTTCCCTAACATTGCCTATTAGGACCTAATCGTCTTCATTATTGCAGGCGCATAATTACATCTGTTGCCCCTACTGCCTCAATTAACCCTTGGGATGCCAAAGTGGATGACCAGCGTGTTCGTTTACAAAGCCTCGCCAGCTCTTTGACACTGTAACGGTTAATTAAAAAGGGGATTAGCTCCGATGCCATTTCTCTTGCTTTGTTGCAAACCGTTTCGCAGAATGTGTCAAGATTTTACAACTGTTAACCTTCTCCTGTTGAAAATTACAGAGCCTCGAATAGGAGATTTACATAAGAACACAAGTGTGTGGGGAGGGTGAGGGGGGGTGGGTTTAAATAAAAACCATTTCTGGTTATTTATTTAGGGTTTTAGCATAGCAAATGTCTTTGTAGTTATAGTCAGATCATGACAGCCTGCCTACAGATGCATTTAGAGACGTAAACTGCCATATAACAACCCATGCCTTTACAATTTCAACACGTGCTGCCCCCTCACAGTTGGCAGAGCTAACCCTGCCACTACCAACGAAAGCCATAATTCAGCCAACAAGACCCTTATAAAGACAAACATAGGTACCAGTGACGGGAAGAGACCATGTGAAGAATAAAGCAATAATGAATATATACATTACTTATAATATACGTTTCCAAGCATACTGTCAGAGTGTATCAAATGGTAAGAATAAAGGGACAAGAGGTAGAGGGAGGGACAGGAACGGATACAACACCAAACTAAGGTGTAATATAGGACCAATGTAATTACCTGGATGAGTCACACAACTGAACCTCTTCTGTCTGAGGAACACTTTGCTTGCTTGTCCTTCTCCTTTCCTAGTGATACTGGAAGCTGCGTGTTGCAGTCATGCCTGCCTGTGGGAGCATGCGTGTGGGAGGAGAGAGAGAGAGAAACATAAGTGAATGTTTTTCTCCCATCAAATTACCCCGCGTCATACTAAGAATCAGCAAGAGAAAGAACAAATACAGGAATATTACACAACAAGGAGGGAGCAGGGAATGGAGAGAACAGGGTAGTATGTGTTCTTTTTCTGATGTCGGGAACAAAAGCAGCAAGAAGGGACGGAAATAATCAAATGATTTGTGCATACAAAATAAAAACAAAATCACACAAAAGAGAGAGAGGAACAATTCAAAACTAAATAGGCCATTAGAAATAAACAATATTAAACAGCATGCAGATAAATGCCTGGGAGAGAACAATAAAACGTAATCATTCGCTCCTAATACTAATATAAATATAGCATCCACAACCTAACGGACGTCATTTAAAAGAGAAATAGTCCAAAAAAAACAGAATTCCAACAAAGCATTAGCAAGAGCCACACATTCTCAATCTACAACATCCACGTGCCATTCCACAACAACTACAACCCAACATACTCCTACATTTCACTGTAATCAAATAACTACACATTTAATTCCAGTGTACCCACAAACAAACATGATCCGTCTACAACTACCATAACACACCACAATATTCTGTAACATATACCTCCCAACATACTTCACTATATCCGTAGTCAGCAATAAACACCAAACTCCAATACTACTACAGACCACCATGATTCGTCTACAATATTCCCAACCCATCACATGTCATGGCACAACATCACAGTGTATCCAAAATGTAATCCCCCTATCTTACCCATAACACACCATTCCACAAAATCCAGGGCCAAACACAAATTTCTACAAAGTCCAAAACCCAACAAACATTATGCCACAAAATCCCAAGACAAACTCTCATTCGTCCAATACAGCAACGACCCAGCATGGAGTCATCTACAACCCACCACACAGCATGGAGTCATCTACAACCCACCACACAGCACTTCACAAGGTCTACAACGTAGCACACATTGTTCTCCACAGCCTAACATGCTCCATCTACAACATCCATATCAAAATATTAGGTACTGGTAATGGGCATTCTAAACTAAGTATTAGCTTTGCTAATCATTAGAAAATGTAAATCTTTGTTTGTTTTTTAACTTCAGACCGCTGCTTTGAGAATCAGCTGCTGTTACAATATTTGTCCATTGCGGCACTGCGATATCACAGAAGTGATGTCCCTTCCGCATCCCAGGTTATCCATGTTTGCTTGCCCTGTTGTGATTTCTGTATACCCGAGAGTGAATTATTGTCTACTGATATGCTGTTTATCGACCTTGGCTTGTCTGACTATACTTGCTCTGCGTAATCAAAACTTGACTTGTTCCTCACTTCTGTGTACCTCTGATACCTTCCAACTCGGCCAGTTTCTCGTGCACACATTGTTTGCAGACATTCCGTCTATTCTAGGTACTAGCCCGGCCATGCTAAGGAACCGCTACTAAGAACTGCTACTTAGAAGTGTCCTTTTAGAATTCCTGCAAGGTGCTTCAATTGATGGACACTTATTACAATCAATCATTTGTGCAACATCACACAGATTTTCTGACATCAAATCTCTGACTTAATCCAACCAGAGACTAGTTAGCACTACTGTAAAAGATTGTTTATAGAGGCAGGTGGAGCAGCACCCACCATCCAAGTTTCAAATCTTTTGGCATGGCAAGACTAATAATAAGAGTGTACTATAAAAAAAAAAAAAAAAAACACATCATCTTAAAACATAGAGTCCTTTTGGAATAAATGCTGAGTTCAACTTTAATAATGTTTTAAAATATTTTTTTATGTATTTTTCTCACCGTATAGTTTATTATTACTATGTTTTTTACCTGGTCCACCTCTGCTTTTGTGTGTTCTTTGTGCATACATTCTATTCTTTCTTTCATTGTTCCATTTTATCTTTAGTATATTTATATGACAAGTCCCTAGCTTTATATTAATTCTTGTTTAATTCTTCTTAATAATATATTTGCCCATCTGTCCCTATGTATACATCGAGATATGCCCATAATCAAGATGGCACCAGTTTGTATCTATGAACTAACAATATGTTACTTCCAGGTGACATCTATACCCCCTTTGAACGGATTAACAATGCGTCACTTTCAGGTGACGTAGATGCAGTAAGAGGATTCCGAGACATCATCAGTGACAGCCTCAAGACCCGCCAGATACCAGAGCACCAGATCATAATCAGAGATAAGAATTGGGCTATTTAAACATAACCTGAAGAAGATAAGAGCACATATTTAAAAAAGTTCAATAGCGAAATGAGTTAGTACATTTTCTTTAAATTGTATACTTTTATTCTAATTGTATGGTTTTATCATCTGTTAGCCTTAATAAAGAATGGTATTTTCCACTCTGTTCCGGTTTCTGTGTCCTGGAGTGTCCATAGTGGGCCCATACCACCCAAGCCTACTATTCATGAGCAAGTTGGTGCTCTTTAATACATGAGTAATATATTTAAGCCTAATATATTACCAAATATTCCAGCTATAGTACTGTTGTTGTTTTTTATATTTCTGCTTTTTTTTTTTTGCTCACTTGTGCCTTTACAGAGAGAACATATACCATTTACATATCAGGATGATCCCACTCATAAGGGCAGTCTAGATCCAAAATGCCTGTAGGTACCCTCTACATGAGGGATACAGCAACCCCAGACAATAGTTTCAGCATTTTTTTTGGCCTAGTTAGCATGGTGAAACTGAAACCCCAGTGTCATGTTCCTACATGTAATTCCGTTATACCGCCATGTTGTTTTCACTCATCAGCATAACCTATCTGACTTCTGGGTTTAGCCGATCCATTCATGCCCATGCGTCTGACATCACTGTTCTCCCTTTAAAAAGGAACCCGCGACTACAGCTGATGGCTCAGTCAATGTGTGTGGGTTTGAGTCTCAATCTCTTGTTTGGTTGGAGCCTCTCATAACTCTGATACTCTGTTTCAACTTGACTCACGGAGCTGCGATACTGTATTCCTGTGTACCGAACCTCTAGCTTCACTCCCTGTAAAGAACAGACTTCACCTTGGATCCCTGCACTCTCCTCATACTTCAAGGAACCAAAACCCACATTATCCAGGAAGGACTCTCAAGCTCATTATCCAGCAATATAAGTTCTCCTATACTGGGATTTGTAATCGGTTCATTATCTTTAGTTAATTGGACGTAAGGGGTGCTAAAGTCTGCCTCTGGGATTTCATTTTCATTTTATTAAGAACTTTCATTTATTATTGCTCATACAAGTTATTTCTTATATTGGAGTCTAAGTGATTATATCCTTTCCTATCGTCAGGATCAACTTATACCTTCATTTACTGCTGTAAGGATTGTGCTCCTTGCTATAACAGATTTCACCTGTTCCATATTCACCTATTGAAAAGTATTGCGGACTGTGTTGCTAATTACGCTTGACTTATTAATTTTCCTGTTAACGTTACAATCTTGTGAAGCACTACTAAACAAGATTGTCATTACTGCATTTTTACTTCAAGACCTTTTTAGACCTTAAGTGACAGTATCGCATTTTTTCATTAACCTGCAGTTGAGTTCCAAATAATTAAAATTTCAATAAGAACATTACACGGTTACACCTAGAGACCAACAAGTTGGTTGCAGCAGTACCTCAAGATCTTTACGTTTTACAAGACCCCACTGAAGTATTATATAAATGATGTATGTGTAGCAAAAAAAACAAGGTTTGGGAGTAACATTCCCTTTTCCTTTATCAGACTTTTAGAATATAATTTCCAAAGTAATAACATATGTAAGCAGCATGTTGCTCTAGGTAGATATTTTGCAACACCTGTAAACTTTAAAGCTGCTTAAGTGCCATGTTCTGCACTTGCATGAAGAAATATTGCTTCTTTATGGTTTTGCTTCACATCAAACAATACAAATAACCGGCAATGTACATAATTATCCTCATAAACATTACATTTTTGGAGCATGCTCAATGAAAACAAGGACCTTCCCTTCCACCCCCAGTTAAAGGACCACTATAGGCACCCAGACCACTTCAGCTTAATTAAGTGGTCTGGGTGCCAGGTCCAGCTAGGATTAACCCCTTTTTTTTATAAACATGGCAGTTTCAGAGAAACTGCTATGTTTATAAATGGGTTAATCCAGCCTCTAGTGGCTCTCATTGACAGCCGCTAGAGGCGCTTGCGTGCTTCTCACTGTGATTTTCACAGTGAGAAGAGGCCAGCGTCCATAGGAAAGCATTGTGAATGCTTTCCTATGGACTGGCTGAATGCGCGCGTGGCTCCTGCCATGCATGCGCATTCAACCGAAGAGGAGGAGAGGAGGAGGAGAGTTCCCCGCCCGGCACTGGAGAAAGAGATAAATTTAACCCCTTCCTCACCCCAGAGCCTGGCGGGAGGGGGTCCCTAGGGTGGGGGCACCCTCAGGGCACTATAGTGCCAGGAAAACAACTATGTTTTCCTGGTACTATAGTGGTCCTTTAAGTGAGTCACCTTTCTTGTAAAATGTTTAACTTTTCTTGAAATATTTAACAATAACAACTATCACCCAAGTATATAAAATCTCCCTTTCCAAACATTCTTTCTCTCCCATATTGGATTAAATGATTTACTTTTAACTTTCTATCCATGGGAGAGCACACTTACTGTTCCTGTAGACTCCAGGAGAATCTTCTGTAGACCCATAGAAAGATGGATACTAGGGGCCATGTGACAAACAATGTTTGACCTATAACAGTCAGGGTGCAGCATACTTTTCACTTTTTAGCCACATACAGGTCCTGTAGGACAAGTCCAAAATGACCATTAAACCAGCACCTGTCTTGGAGTTTTCCATACTTCACAATATTTCAAATGGATAAAGAGGGACACTTTAGTTTAGCTGTTCTAAGAAATTTCAGTGACTTACGAATAACAATTTAAACAAC